ACCCATTACTGCGTAACTTATTACAGTATATTTTCAAAAATATTAGTGATGTACTAAAACTCCTAGTACCTCTAGAATAAAGCCAATATAAACACAGAATTATAAGAATAATAAGTAAAAATTTTCTTAAAAATCTTTTGAAACCTAACTAAATATAAAGGTAGATAATCTATTATCAATAACTTGAAATACTTCATATTCCTCTATTTCAAAAGTTTCTCTATTAATGATTTTCTTTTCATATGAATGTTGCTTGCTTTTACCAACAATATTATTAATAAAAGATCCTGATGATTTGATATACAAATCTTGTAACCAAAAATATGGTCCCTCATTTTTACTCCAAATGATTGCTTCCTTTTCAAAATTGACTCGATTTAATATAGGATTAAATCGATTTGTTAATGAAAATAAAAACTATTTGACGTTTTACATTGATAATTTTTTGTGGTTACGAGATCTTTCATCTGCTACCATTTTTGTACGACACCATTCTAATGGATTATATCCACCAATCTTTTGGGTGTAATTATAAGAACAGTTGGTCCCTTATTATCGCAATGTTTATGGAATTTATCAATCCCAAAACCATCGCGACTAGCACGACAAATAACAGATAAGATTAAATTTAAAAGGTAAATCTTTAAAATGATAAGGTGTTCCTTTTTCTTATCAATCCAACTTGCTATTAATGCAACATCTGTAGTAATTAATAATCTTGGAGTCAAATATATATCTTGGCGGCAAAGCATTGGGAAAGTCTGGAGGCTGAATTTGAAAAATATAGTAACTTCATCATCGAGACCATCAGGAAAAATATTTTTAAAATATACAAAATCTTTTTTAGTTAAAACGAGAAGTAATGTCAGACAATTGTATAATAATATGAATGTGATCTTAGGAGGTTTATAAATCTTATAATTTACAGGTTTCGTTATATTGTTCCAAGTTCTTAGTGACACCTTCAAAAAAATCACCTGATATGCAACTTCGATGGTTTCTCGTGGCCCAAAAATTCAGATCTTCTACCAGGAATGTGCAATCTAAAAGCAACTTTTTTGTCATTAGCAATAATTGTGTTGAACAAATGCTAACCTGGAACATAATTAGATTCATATGTCTGTAAAGTATAATTCGTATTTCACTTCTTTAATAACAATTTTTAAAACAATATTAATGCTTCTTGTTAAGTATTTATTAAACAATTTATAATTTTCTTTTTTACATCTTAAAAACTATATATTAATAACTTTTTTTTTAAAAAAAAAAAGAGCTGTGATGCCATTATCTCTAAGTTTCCAACTCAAACTTTGAAAATCTCATTTCTTCCCTTTGATTTTTTTTACGATTCATTATACGCAGTGATAGAGCTGGTTACCAAATAGAATTTTGGTTATTCTCGAATTTACTTAAAATTTCTCTAAATTTTAATATAAGTACTTGCGGAAAACAGAATTATTAGGTGTATTTACGAGTAGCACACTTAAAAATCTACAAATTTTTGAATTTATTTTTATCCAACAATTTGTTATATTAATAAACACCTTTAAATATTCATTTGAACTACTTAAAATATTTAAAGCGATATATTTTAATGATAGTTTCGTCCATTAAATCAATGTATTAATAAGGCGGCGCAAAGTTATAAATTCGATTTTCATATCACACATATCACAATTTGTCTTTTTTTTGACCCAGCCGTCGCCCGGGATTTTATTTTTACAGCTGTTTTCATATTATTCGGGACAAAGTAAAATTTTGAACTTGACATCCAGTCCGGTTTTTCGGATGAGGCAAAAAAAAACTAAGTCCTTCAGATAAATATAGACAGCGGCGGAGAAAAAAGAAATAAAGAAAATCGGAGCCATAAAAAGCATTATAAATAAAATTTATGGTAATTTAAATAATCATGCTTCTTATTCTATGCACATCCCTAAAAATGAAAAAAATGATATTAGTGTCATTTCAAACAAATAAACATCATCAAACCACCCGTTCTAAATTATAGTACTAAGTCAATGGATCGAAGTCGCATCTAAAATACATCATCATTATTATTGAATATTGTTTAAAACGCAATTACCAAAGATAAGAAATTAAACTTACCGAAATCGTTTTAATGTTTTTTTGAATATATCATATCAAGTCCAATATTTCCCAAGTAACTTGAAACGAAATATAGTAAACGAAACATAGAAGCGAAACATAGTATAATGCTCTCTCTTCATCTCATTTTCGACTCCCATTGTACCTTTTCATCACCGTTCCATTTTTGTGGAATTTGGATATGTACGCAAATAAGGTATGCATTTGACTCTGAGCTTGGAATTTCGAGGATCTTATTTGGCATAAACTTTCAGTGATTCAAGAAGATTTTTATCAATACGCAATATATTATAATCATTATCATTTGCGTACAATATTGATATCAATAGTTTATTTGCGTACAATTTTGAATATCGAATATCTATTATTTATTTGAGCATGATTAGCCAGTGATTAGCTGTACGATAATATAGATATTGTATGGTGTTGTATTTATATTGTATACTCTATTTATATAGGTAAATAGATAAACTGTACTGTACGGTCAGCTAAACTGTACTGTACGAAAATATTTTAGCCAATCATAACTCATTGTATACTTTTCGAATTTTTTTTATTTATCGTACAATAAAATCTGATTGGTGAATTCTCACTTCGTACAGTACAGTTTAGCTAACCGTACAGTACAGTTTATATGTATACTCTATTTATATTGGTTTACGTCACGAAATATCACACTAATTTTTCTTGCAACCTTCCCGCGGGCATATGTAAATTGTGTCTCCTTGAAAAGCTCTGTTGCAAGAATTAATGTCGTGTTCGCAGACGTGATCTTCTGGGTTTAAAGTACTTGATTTGATGCACATCTATCATTTGCAAATGAATGGGCAATGGGCTATTTATATCATTATATGTTGTAGTGATTTAACACCTTACGATTGTGGGGTAATACTGATCAAGTCGTCATTTGAGTGACCAATTCGGCCAAAATTAGCATGGCTAATTTTTGGCTGAATTATGTCCTAAAGCTGGCTAATTTTTCCAATTTGTCTCGTGACTTATTATAAAAAATAGATGTATCAAAGAAAAAAAAATAAAGGATTAAATTTAAAAAAAAAATAATACAATGAATTTTTATTTAAATTTAAATTTAAATATAACTAGATTAGGTTGATGTGTGGCAACTTCGTCGCCACCAGATAGATTATTGTCGAAAACATAAGTGATTAGGTCTTTGTTCATGATTATTTTATTTATTTTAAAAAAAAAATTGTAATTCCAAAAATTATAAAAAGTTTTGAAATAAATAATAGCAAATTTATTTATTTTTATTTATAAAATTGATAAATATTTTCGCAAATATAAAATGAATATTAAAAATTATAAAAGTTGCTACTGGTTAGATTTTTTATAAAAAATCATTTTATTCCCAAGATGAATTGTTTTTAGTTAGTAAAAAAAAAGAATAAATATTTTATTAGTGATTTGTAATAAATAATTAGTAATTAATTTAACAAAAATTTTATCATTTACCAAGATATTTACTAAATTGCCAATGTGATCTATTAGTATTGTCCTATTTCAGTCAGTTCAAGAATAAACATAAATGGTAGAAAAAGAAGTGGCTTGATTAATAATATTCGAAGAAAAGAAAAATAATATTGTTAAACGAATGATTGTCAAAATGTTATTTACCAATAAAGTCACAAGATCAAATCTAAAATGGTAAATCAATTTTAGATTAGTAAACTAATCAGGACACTATTATAGTTTAAAATAAAATTAGTTAATTAAAAAAAAATTGTTTAAAATAAAATTGGTTAATTAAAAAAATTGGCAAAAAACAAATTAGTCATCGGTAAATATGCTGATCTACAAATTTTTCCGCATTTCCCATTAGTCACTGGATGATCTGCAATTTTTTTTTTATAAAAAATAACTAATTCGTAAAAAAAGTTACAGGGCCTCTTCAGAATCAGTATCTGAATCAGATACTGAATATAATACAATATAATAATAATGAACGGTCATTTAGGTCACACAAACTTCTAAAAAAGGTGATTTTTTTTGGAAAAAGGAAATTGTTTATTACACTAAAAACGATGTACATATATAAAATTATATTTGTTAAGGTAACACAAATCTCTTGGTGGACCATCCTTTATTATATCATGTTAAAAAAATACAGTACTCAATGAATAGAGATGTTTAAATGAATTATGTATACTCCCATTATCTCTTTATTTACTAATTGACTACTGTATATTTTATCTACGAAATTTAAACTAAACATACAACGTAAATAAACCAAAGACTATAACTAGGAAAATGAAAGTCTGTCGCGTCATACTTGCAATACATCAATACTTCGCATGGGCCATACCACAGGATTTTATTGGTGGAAATTTTTTGTTGCCACGGTAAACTTGCAAAATGTACGTCCAATTACATATTTTTTTGTTTTCTATGATTTTAGCGTTAAATCTTTAAATTTTAATCAAATAAAATTAGTTGTTTAAGAAATATTAGACAATTCTGATATTTTAATGCACATTGCAAAATATAATTTTGAAGTTTGAAGAGTAATGTAATTGTTTAAATATCAAATATCAACCAAAATTAACAAAATACAATAAACCAGAAAGATCAAAGAAAACACAATAAAAAGTGATTAGATATTCCCAACAAATCAAGAAAAAACACAATAAAGGTCGCTTAAATCCCAACATAATAGTAACCAAGATAAAGAGATACAATAAGGGTTAAATTTCATGAACAAACCCAAGGAATATAATCAAAAGCTGGAATCAAATTACTCCTGAAAAAAAGAAAGAGAAAGAGAACGTTAACAGTGCTCTCAAATAAAAAAAAAGCCACAAATAATAAAAAAACCAAGAAACTCACACTTGCGATTTAAAAGTCAACCCGAAACCCCAGGTGTTCCTAAAAAAAGAAAAAGAAAGAGAACATTATTAGACTCAAATAAAAAAAAAATAATAATGAAACTCACCTTCCTACTTGCGATTTAAAATTCATATCAGGTGTTTCACAAAAAAAAGAAAGTTAATAACATTTTCAGGCAAAAATAAGACGCCAAAATAATAAAAAACTGAATCACCTTTCTATACTGAAGTCCAGTGTTCCTAGAAAAAAAAGAAAGAACGTTAACAACATTTACAGACAAAAAGAATCAAGAAAACTGAGCAACTCACCTTCTTACTTGCAATTTCAAAGTTCATAGTAAAGTCATAAAAAAAGTGAGCGTTAATAACCTCAAATAAAAAAAATGTGAAAATAATTAAAAAAAACAAGAAACTCACTTCTCCCACTTGCGATTTCCGTTCCTTAAAAGAGAACGAAAAAAAATAATATCTCGTGTACCGTGAAAATTACTGGCAGTGTTATGATTTTGTGTTAACCCATGAAATTTTCCTTCCTTTCATCCGCTGACGTCACCTCACTAATTACCTCTGCTTTTCACCGTACATATAGAAAGTCCTTTGCTACGCTCCAGACAATAATGTAAATTTTATTTGACGTTATTACAGGTTAACATCAAAAGATTTTTGGTAGAACTTACTACTAATTTTTGCTCATTAGTTTTTAATAAATACAAACTATTTTAACTATTTTGATTACCGTATTCTTCTGATCATATGATCATAAGCACCACAAAACTTTAGTACATCCATGCTTTAATTGCTTTACCTTATTTATACTCCCCTATTACGCCAAAACTCAACGTTCGGCATATTCTAAAGGTAAAAACCTAGAATAAAAATTATTTTTTATTCAAAATATAAAAAGACAAAATTTATTTCTCACCCGACCCCCTGAATTTAATATACAAAAAATGACGTCATGCCGATCATTTGCCGATCATTTCCAAAAAAGGAACAACGTAATTTTTGACGGAAAAAATTATTTTTTTTAAAAAAAAATAAAACTTAATATAAGCTTCGTATAGCCTTCAAAGTTATGGCTCATAGGTAATTTTGCCTGCTCTACAAATTTACTTAATACCTTAGGAAAGGTTATAAATACCATTTTTGATATTTTGACAATTTATGACTTGGGGATGAGGAATATCGAATCTCACCCAGGGTGAGGAATAAATTCACCCATATAAAAATATTACAATAAAAAAAAAAATTCAAATTTGAGTGGTGCTTATATTTTTGTTTTTCAAATTTTTTTCCGAAAATTGGGATGGTGCGTGGGGTTTCTAATCGAAAGAATACGGTATTTGAATAATACATTTTTTTATTATAAACCATTGTTATTTGACTACATGAATTAATTGAGTGACCCAAATAAATATAAATTAATAATCAAGAATTACTTAGTTTAGGCATGGTATAGGGTTAGGACATAAGTTAGAATTCAAAGTGTGCAAAATTATTGCAATTTATAATATATCATTTCTTCTATAATTCACTTTACTGCTTATTCACAGATTTCTTGAAGCTTTGTCAATTTTATATTATGATCGTCAGTATTGCACCAGAAATCATGATTTAGGAAAAAAAAATTGTAATTCAAAAAAAATAAATAAAACTAAGGTTATTTCAATGCAAAAAAAGTAGAATACTTTTAATATATTAAATATTCATAAGCAAATAGAAACACATCTAAATTAATTCTAAATACGAACAGAGACATTTTGGAAGTGCAAGTTTGATAACTTACAAAATGAGAAATTATAACTAAATATCTCCATAAATATACATTATTAAAAAAAGTAAAAAAAGTTAAATGGCGAATTAATATTATAAAATAATATCCAAAGACTCAAATAAAAAATTTTCTAGTTTACTTTACATGAATTATTCTCTATTCTTTAGTAGCTTTTCTAATTGATTCTGAGCATCTTGATCTCCTTGTTCAGCAGATTTTTTATACCAATAAATTGCCAGTTCTATGTTTTTAAAGATTCCTTTTCCATTTTTATACATAAAAGCAACATTACATTGAGCATCACTAAATCCTAAATTCGCAGCCTTTTGATATAATTCAAATGCTTTTTGATAATTAATGTTAGTTCCAATTCCGTTAATATAACAATATCCTAAATTATTTAATCCATATGGACTTTCTAAATTTGCAGCCTTTTGATATAATTCAAATGCTTTTCGATAATCAATGTTAGTTCCAATTCCTTTTTCATAACAATCTCCTAAATTATTTAATCCAGATGCATTTCCTAAATTTGCAGCCTTCTGATACAATTCAAATGCCTTATTATTGTCAATGCTAGTTCCAATTCCCTTTGCATAACATATTCCTAAATTATTCAATCCATATTTATTTCCTAAATTTGCTGATTTTTGATACAATTCAAATGCCTTTTGATAATTAATGTTAGTTTCAATCCCCTTTTCATAACATTTTCCTAAACTACTTATTCCAGCTGCGTTTCCTAAATTTGCTGATTCTTGATACAATTCAAAGGCCTTTTTTTTGTCAATATCAGTTCCGATTCCCTTTTCATAACATTTTCCTAAACAATTTAATCCAAATGCATTTCCTAAATTTGCAGCTCTTTGATATGATCCAAATGCCTTTTGATAATCAATACTAGTGCCAATTCCGTTATAATAACAATGTCCTAAATTATTTATTCCAGATATACTTCCTAAATTTTCCGCCTTCTGATACAATTCAAATACCTTTTGATAATCAATGCTAGTACCAATTCCGTTATAATAACAATGTCCTAAATTATTTATTCCAGACATACTTCCTAAATTTGCCGCCTTCTGACATAATTCAAATGCCTTTTGATAATCAATGCTAGTACCAATTCCGCTATAATAACAATATCCTAAATTATTTATTGCAGTTGCGTTTTCTAAATTCGCTGATTTTTGATACAATTCAAAGGCCTTTTTTTTGTCAATATCAATCCCAATTCCTAAATGATTAAACGCTCCAAGTAAAAAAATAGAATTGGAATTATTTTGATCACTCAATAACCAATTATAAATTTCTTGTAAATTGATATTATGATTATTAAGATAATTAAGAATATTCTGTTCAAGTATTTCATCCCCTAATTTTTCACAAAAGTCAACTAACTCATCAACCACTATATTAAAACTAATATTAGTCTGACCAATTTTTAATGTTTTTAATTTATCAACTACCTGATCGATAGTTGGACGATTATCTGGCTCACAATTCCAACATTCTAAAAAAAAAGATGATTATATTAGATTAAATAATGATATCTTAATAATATTCAAAACAATGCTATTTACCGGTATAAAGGTTAATGTAAGCAGTAGGTGTGTCAGTAAGTGGTGTTTCTCTAAGTCCTTGTGAAATTTTTACAATTAAACTATATGATGACATTCCTTTAAAAGGTGGTTGACCACTTGATATTTCCCACAGGAGTACACCAATACTATAAATATCACTCTTTTTATTTAAAGAGTATTGTTGAAAATTGAATTTTTTTGGGTCAATATATGGAACTACACCAAATAAGTCCGATCGTGATTTATATGCCTCATCAATCCTTTTTGATAAACCAAAATCAGCCAACTTTATGATATTTTGATGAATTAATACATTTTTAGAGTGCTATTTAATATGAATATTAAATAAATTGATTAATTAATATATATAATATAATATTAAATAATAAAATGTAAATGAATTACCAAATCACGATGAACAATTCCTTCATCATGTAAACATAGTACAGCATGGGCTAGCTGAAATGCCAGATTAAATTTATTATGCCAAGTAAGATTATGAAAATGTTCTTTCAAATACTCTTGAAGAGTACCGCTATCAGCGTATTCCATTACTAACCAATATTTTAAGGAGTTATCATTTTGGTTTTCTTATTAAGGAAAAAAAAAAAATATTATTTTAAATATTATGAAGTTAATATCATTATCATTATTATAAAATTTATCATACGTGTTGTAATGCCAAAGAAACGAATAATATTTTCATGGAAATCCACTTCGCGCTGATGTTTAAGCTAGGTCGTAAATAAATTTTAAATTAAAAGTCATAGTAAAGGAGGAGATATATAATATGCATATTATGTTGTTTATTACCTCATTAACAACTTCTTTAGTTGTAATATTATTGAAATTAAAAAAAGTTTTCAACGCTAAATAACTATGAGGACTTTTCCAGTTAGCACGGTAGACCTTTCCGAAGCTTCCAGAACCAATTTCCTCAATATTTTTAAAATGATTATATTCGTAATGTTTAATATAATTTTTTGCAATAGCTTCTTCAAGCCAAATAGTCCATTCATTATTTGAATCTTCAGTGACAGTTATTGGTATAATAGGTTCTGACATTGTTGAGTTTGTAGAATTTTTTATTATAGAAATTAATTTAAGTTTAATTTAAGTTTAAAGCTAAATGGGATTTTGGTATTACCAAAACGTAATCGTGCATTAAAATAATTAAAGTAACCTGTCGATCATTTTGAGTGAAAAAAAACAGAGGCACAGACGATTTTTAATTTTTTTTTACATTTTTTAAGGAATATGATCTGATATAGTAATTGTCCAAAATGAAGGACAATATAGTAATATGCGCTAAGAAAATTTGTGGTCACGGGTGGTTGTCGTCTTCCCCATTTACCGTAGTAACACCACCAATTTTATAATTAAAATTTTACCCCACGTGACCGGTGACAGTTAAGGGGTTGTGAAAAAAATAATTTTGGAAGGCAAAAAAAAAACTAAGTCCCTCAGATAAATATAAACAGTGAAAACGCGGTGGGGTGTGATGCCGGTGATGAATATTATTAGGTCACGTGGGGGTAAAAAAATTTGGTGGTAATACTGGGGAAGATCGTCTTCCCCAGTATCACCACAAAATTTCCTCCCACGTGATTTGACTGATTTAAATTTTGATTGGCTTATGTTACACATAAGACAAAAAAAAATGAAAAAAGAGATTTTTTTTCTTAGGATATTATAATAAAAAAATTTTATTTCGTTACAATAATCTTCAAAGGTCTGTTTCATCTATCAAAAGCGTTAAAATTACGATGTAAAGTGAAAAAATCCAGCTGCGATTTTACATATTTTTTTTTTTTTAACAACACGATAAACATGAAATGTAAAAGAACAAGATACACGTTAAACTCAGATACACTTTGAAATTGAACTATACTAAATACAGCCAATCTCTCCGTCCGTGCGCATCGGTCAACACCCGGTCACGCCTCCACCCCCCTTGGAATACTACACTACTACTACACCTCTAATCTTGCCTCTACCCTTTCCACGGTACCTCGTCCACTCTCCTTCATCATCTTCTTCGTCCTCTACCTCACTCCTATCCCCTTGTTTACCAATAACTCGCTTCTTACCCTCTTTTACAATCTTTGAGAATATTTAAGCTATTTTAATAAAAATTAATATTTGAGTACTTAATTCCATATGCTGAACAATTTTACTTAAGCCTCCTAGACTTATTTCATTTATCAAAATACTGAAATTACACTATAAAATTGAAAATAATGTAAGTAATTTCATTAATGAATACCTGCTTTTCACAAAATTTTAAGAAATGGGAGAGAATTTTGTTGTAAAATAAATCAATAAGGCTTATCACGCCACATAAGTCACGTGAGGGAAGAAGATTTGTTGGGAGCTCCTTTTAACCTAGAGTCCTAGAGCTTGGTCTAGATTAATATCTTAAATCCCTCTTCTTTTAGTTCAAAAATAATTATCAATGCCACATATTTTGTGAACATTTATCTTAAAAAATATTTTAGCTTTTTTTTCGCGCTCGATAAAAAATTTAAACTTTTATTTTAAAAAATGCAAAAATTATACATTTCATGTACTTAAATATTAAGGAATAAAAAAATAAGATGTACTTCCGTGCATAATTATTAATAATATAGCCGGTTTTTAAAGAACTTTACAAACCATAATAAAATTTTATCTTAAGTAAAAGGCTTATTTGAATAAATGCAAAATAAACAATATAATTTACAATAGAAAGTAAGACGTAATAACTAATAAGTTCCGATCAATAAAAATGCTGAAAATCATCTGCTTCCCGTTCTGACCAAAATCATAAGACAAAATATGGATTATTCCAGATAAATCTAAGTCTTAATCCCAGAATTTTGCGGCTCATATTTTCAACTAAACGGTACACCATATTTATGTTTACAAGCACCCTGACTCGTATTCACATTTATATAAAGCTTAGTTAACTTTGTCAAGCATTACAGCTAAAAAAAAAATAAAATGTCGTTTAGATTAGTCTGTATAAATTGAATTGTGAACACGTGATTCATCTGCCAATAAATTGGTATAGTAAATTTTTCTGTGGAATTTTTTTTTTTTCGTAACAATAGTAAATTCTATGGGATTTTTTTTTTCAATATTAATTAGTAGAACGCTATAATGAATTTCTTTGAGATAGATATGTATTTTTTTCAACAATTGATGTAATTTTTTTTAATGCTACAATGGAATTTTTTCGGTGTATCTGATCTTAGTATAGTATGATTTTGTAAAATAATGTGTATATTGCATCTTTTGTTAGTACGTATGATTTTAAATCGTACGTACTACTTTGATTTTAAATTGTACGTATGTAGTGAAAAAAAAAAATCATACATACGTATATAAATCATACTTTTTTACCAGTACACTTTTTCAATGGCGCTCGCTCCTTCTTTAAAATATGAAAATAAAAATTTAAATAAACATAATTATGTATTGTTTCACTTGTTTGTACGTAATAAAAAATTTTTATCATATACATATTATTATACATTGTGATAAATACACAGTGAAATTCGATATAACGGAACCATCCGTTCCAGTAAAAATATCCGGTATATCGAGACTTCCGATATACCAAAAAATTTCGATATACCGGATTTTATATATAAATCACATGAAATTCCGGTATATCAAGTTTTTATTTGTGCGACATGTGCGACGAACATTGAAAATTTAGATTATTTTTATTTAAAACATTATTTGAGAAATTTTATGCACTGAAATTTACCAAAACTTAAAAAAATTTTGCTTTTTCTTACTATTCGAAATAATTTTTTTATAAAAAAAAAATTACCACGTTGTGAGATTATCTGTATCACGTGAAAATACTGTAATTTTATTGGTTTAAAATTGTGAATCGACACGTGTTCCGGTATATCGAACCATTTTTATTATAACCGTTCTGTTATTTGTTCCGTTATAGCTATTATCGAGATTTTACTAATAAATTCCGTTATATCAAACTTATTTTAATATATGTGATTTGGTTCCGGAAAAAAGTTCCAGTATAAGGCCGGTTCCGGTTTATTGGGGTTCCGTTATATCGAATTTCACTGTGAGTGTATATATGTACCATAAAAAATCATACATACAAAGTAAAATTCCACAAACACGGCATACTAACTTACAAAATCGTACTAAAGTAATATTATATATACTCAATTTTTTTAAGATAAAAAAAAAAAAAATTTTTTTTGTAACAATAGACTACTTATTCTGTAATGAATTTGTAAATATATAAATAAATCATAAATTCCAGATATGAACATTAGAAACCCACATCAAATATTGTGGAAATATGTGGAAATTTTATTTTTATTTTATTTTTATTTTTGAAATGTAGACAATGACGGGAACCATACAAGTTTGTGGGCTGAGCCCTTACACAAGGAAAACTACTACGCTACACTGTACCCATATAAACCCAACCCCCTCAAAGAAGGGATCGTACTGCCTATTATTGAAAAAAAACAACACTAGGCATTACCAGCATTGTAAGCGAAAATATATTTTGTTATAGTAATAGAAATATGTGGAAATCTGAATAGTTCTAATATTTTCCAGACAAAAACACGTGGTATTTTCGGTGTAGATCAATGTGAATTCGTGTAGGATATATGGAAATTCCACAAACCTATGCGGAATTATCTAAAAATTTCCTGACGCAAGATCAACGAAAAATAATATTTCATATACTGTGTAATACTCACACAATTCATTATTATTTTTATAATTATATAAATTTATTACATTTATTTCTTACTAATCCCATCATGATAATAGTAAAAAACTAGACCTATTCACGTGGCAAAAAAAATATAAATATGTTAATATTACTCTCTTGGCCTAATGGGCAAAGTCCCATACCCGGCGCAACACAAATATAGCAAAGGAGTTAAAATGGGAAGAGCCAATTTTAATGATGACTGATTGTACAAAAATTCGTTCTAATCTAGTATATTCTCAAGAACTTGGTTATATCACCGGATCCACTTTATCTTCAAATGTAGTCTCAATTTCCAACATTAATGATATACATGCAAAAATAAAACAACATTTATGAAAAGAACATAATTGTAACACAAGTTCGGGTCATTGTACTCCAAGTTTTTATGATTTTTAATTAGATTTTTTTTTATTATTTATGTTATTCTAACATTGATTATTAAATTAGATTCCCGTCGGAAAAATACCTCCAATTCAAATTGCTATTTTGCGTATAAAAGGTAATGAATCTGCAGAACAAATTTTTAGTATTCTCCAAACTGTATTGGATTATGCACATAAGAGTAATATCAATATTTTCAGCATGAGAGCTGATGGTGCACGTTCAGAATTTAATGCTCAAACACAAATTACAACATATTTTACAGATGATCCATTTTATAATGTGCATTTAAAAGTACCTATTATTAATGGAAAACCATTAGTACGTATTCAGGATCAAAAGCATGCTAAGAAGTCAGCGTGAAAATCAACTATTTACTGGAGCAAGGCTTCTTTCATTAGGAATAGATACCGCGCAATACGATCAGCTTTTTCAATTAGCACAAAATCATGTTTTACTAAAACGTGATGTTATTAATGTTGACAAACAAGACGATGGCGCCGCTTATAGAATATCTCATTCAGAAACTTTGACAATATTCCTTCTAATTGGTCCATTAATAATACCACAAAATTCTCAGGGGTTATATATAAATTACAAAAAAATATTTTCGATAATCAAAATCTCTTTTTTACTTCAAAAATGTCACTTAGAAAACGCACTAAAATTAATAAAGTTAATACTGTAACTACTTATACAAGAGTTAAGGAACGTCCAGACGTTTTTCGTGTTGAAAATGGTCTTTTTGTTTTGTAACTATTATGACCTTTCTCTGGAATGGAGACAAGTCAACGGTAGATTCTCGTTGTTTAGGAAATAAGCACCTGACACAAAAAAAAAAAATCAACAAACCTTAGAAACAACTTTACGTGCAGCTGATTCTAAAAGAGAAGTTATAGACAATTTAATTCAAGCATTTGCAGGTGCAAACATTCCATTAGAAAAAATTAATCACCTCGCTTCCTATCTTACAGAAGGAGGAGCAATTCCTTAAGCTCCAACCTTACGTAAATTGTATTTACCTTCTGTTTTTGAAAATCATGTAAAAATACTCCTTTCAATTTTAATTCAAAAACCCGTATGTATTATAAATTTATAATGGATGAGCTTAGTGACGATTGTGCACGTAGTGTTGTTAATACACTATTCAAAATACAAAACTGGTTTCTGTTAAATTTTTACAACGTGTTAACAATACAACTATTGGACAAATCCTTAATATTCCGCGTTATTTCTTTCTGACTCAGCCGCGTATACGAAAAAATGTTTTCGTGAAGTTTTAAAGCTAGTTATGTTTCTTATTGAGTAAGGAAATTTGCATAATCAAAAATTTGCGCGTCAGTGAACTTTTATAATAATTAATTTAATTTAATCAGAGAGATCTGGAGAGATTTACCACAATTTTCACGATTAAAGACTTTTGGCTAATATCAAAGAATCATTTGTCAAATCACCTGCACGAAGAATGGAAGAAACCGTTATATAACTCATCTTAAAATGAATGGCATTAATTCCTTGCAAAATTCCAAACTCGGCTGACACAGGTAGGACTGGATGGATATAGTCCAGTAAGCAATTATATGAACAAAAATATCAGTTTACCATGAAAATATTTTATTATTTTATTAATTATAAACTATTTATATAATCAGACATTTATGGCCATCAGTTTAGCATAAGCATCTCTTTGAGGATGTTGTTTATTTGGAAGAAATTCTATTTTCAATGAGATCATTTAATAAAAAAATCACATAATTGACATAATTATAACAAATCAAACTATTGGACCAACATTATATGTCTAGTGGACTTAACTCTGCTCGTAGTAATATGAGCTTCATTATATAGCGTAAGCCAAAATTACGATTTTAATTCTGGGCAAAATTTTTTTTTTTGATGATACTGCAATTATTTTCGAAGATGTTATGTTTTAAAATGGTAACTTGAATTTTTACAGTAATTCTAGGATTATCGTTTAATTATTCGTATATAAAAGATTATACATAAAAGAATTTATTTTTTTTTTTTTACTCTTTATATAATGAACGGCTATGACTAATGATCTTTACATTTAAGTAGAAATCAATTTGTTAAAAGATACAAGAACCAAGGAAATTGAATTCTTGGTTATTTCTGTTTTGTGGTGTTACTCTTGGAACAAAACTCATTTTATATAATACACAAAATTTTCTTTTGGCCATGAATTTGGGCGGCCACACAAATGTTTTTATCATGTGTTTCAAATATACATGTATAACATACAAGGAAAACGGAAATATGTCGCACAAACGAATGTGCGTATATTTCATGGCTATTCAGAAAGTGTTACATAATCAAGAAAAAAGAAATAAAAGTGATTTTTATGACAGGATTTAACAGTGCGGGAAATAATCCTTCGCTTATGTTCCGAACAATGAAGGAATTTCTGATACGTCAGATAACTTTCCAGAAATTCTTATTAAAAGCGAAAGTGAAAAAACTATCAAAGTTGTAACAAATGACTTAATAGTAATATGGGATTTTTTTTGAACTTTGAAGACATTATAATGCGGTTTAAAATAATTACTAGTCGAGTGATTATATTTAAATATTTATCAATAAGAATGATGACAAGCCAGTTAAAGAAATTCGATTCTTCCTAATTCTACTATCAGATAGGGAAGAATGACCTGATGTTAAAAGCATATTATTATCGTGAAATGAAAAGAGAATGTTCAATAAAAAAGGGATAGAAACATAAAATTTTATGACACTCACTAATCTAGACGTTATAAGCAATAATTTATTATTATAAGTCTATTAAATGGAACATGATATACGAAAAACTTTAAGAGCTGAAGTGAGCAAATTTCATGGATCAAAATATAAAGAATTAAAATACATAAATACATTATCGGAAATAAATTATGAAAGTGTGTAAATAATTTGATTATGTTCACTCATTCTTTGTCCTTTAATTTTATTTGACATGGCACTGAACGTTCTGTCACATATAAGAAATTAGCGTACAAATGATGGAAATATTTCGTAATTATTATTACCAACGAATCCTTACATTATGCACGGTTGCTGCTGGCCACCAAATAGATTAAAAAGATTATGTAGAGTAGAGAACGTAGTTTGTATTTCATGGTACTCTTGTTTCCATTCAAAACAATTAAAGATTATTCGCTCGAAAATCAACTGGGAAGCGAATCACGTTGATCAATAATTTTCTAGCAAGATGGGCGGATTTATTATCTAATACAATGTAAAATAATTCGTGATAGAACCGATAGAACCAACTTCTATGGTTATCTCTGATACTGATACAAGAATCAAGAATTATTAAAAGGAATCTGGTAATTAATTATAAACTGTTAATAGCAACCAATAAATAAAAACATAATATATATTAAATATAAAGTATATATAAAATTAATAAAAAACCGATTTATAAAAATTTTTAGCTACTGTAACTTTTCATACTTGCCAAATTTAATAGATTATTGCATCATCACGTTGATCACTATAGTGAAATACAAGAAATCATTAGTTCCTAACCTTAAATCTAATTAAGATTTGGGTATTATATTCCTCACGAAAAAAAGATTACCCTGTAATTTAAAAATTCCCACCTTTCCTAAATGGCAAAAAATTTTTTAATTTTGATTTATTGATCGATTACGGAAATTTTGATAAAACTCTTAATTATAAAAAAACTTGACCAAAATAAGAAAATAGGATTCGTTTTCTTTTTTAAATCTTTCTAAATATTGTTCTAAACCGATTGTGCTAAAATAAGAAAATTTCTATAAAAAACTTTCTTGTATGATATTATCAAAATATTAAAAGGTTAAAATAAACCTTCATAATTATAAAGTTCATCAGACCGGAATGACTCTCGTTCGGTATTCGATTCTAATTTAAACATATAAGTTCTCTTATTATGTATATCTAAAACTCTAAAACTTGTAATTAGATAATATAATTACTAGTTTCAATATCTCATACTCAAAATTTTATTTCCCCATCTCCTCCAAGTTTCTATTTATAAAATTAAATATGAAAAGTCAATTTCAGTATACGCGAAGTTTCCGTCAAAGATTTTTCTATGAAGAACAATATACATTTTTGTTCTTTTAACTATGAAAAAATTATTTGGCTATGAATGTTTCCATCCTTGGTAAATTTTAAACCCTTTATAATAAATTTTTGAATAAATTTAATATTTTTTAATATAATCGTTTAATTTTACTATAATGAAAAAAGAATATATAAACAACAAGGAAATTCCCCTCTAAAAGTTCTTCACTTCTCTTCTGAAAAAAAAAAAGAACAATAACAAATCACAGAAATCAAAAAAAAAAATTTCACTAAAATATAATAATAATCATTTGCTCCTTAAACAACAAAAAATGAAATTTTTAGTAATTTTATCAGTCGTAGTCGCTTCCGCAGTGATAGTTAATGCAGCTCCAGGTAAAAATTAAATTATATACACTATTTTTAGATTCTTTTTTGTTAATTATTTTTAACATTTTCATTTTTTTAGTTAATAAACGCAGCGATGATTATGGTAAAAAGGAATCAATGGAACCTGAAAAGCCATATAATCCATTTTACAATCCATGGGTACCCACAGACAAACACAAACATGATTATGGATATGGTTATATTGACATGCATGACAAACATACTGACTATGACATGAAAGACAAACATGATGACTATGACATCAAGGACAAGCATGATGATTATGACATGAAAGACAAGCATGATGACTATGACATGAAAGACAAGCATGATGACTACGACATGAAAGACAAGCATGATGACTACGACATGAAAGACAAGCATGATGACTACGACATGAAAGACAAGCATGATGACTACGACATGAAGGACAAACATGATGACTATGACATGAAGGACAAGCATGATGATTATGACATAAAAGACAAACATGATGATTATGACATAAAAGACAAACATGATGACTATGACATGAAGGACAAGCATGATGATTATGACATGTATGATAAACATGATGAAAAACCAAGTTATTAAATATAATCGTAGTATTATCATATTTGAAGGACAATTGTTTCTTTTGTGTAAAAAAAAAAATTTTATTTGATCTGAAATTTTTCTAGTTCTTTTTTTTTTTCATAAATTTGTTTTAATTTTGGTAGATTTCTATTTTTTCATTTCATATATCACAGTAAATGCTATTAATAATTTTTTAGTTATGTCTTTATAAATAATAAAAATGATCTTTATACAAATTTTCAAATCTTGCAAAATTATGTTAATTAATGATTGAATTACATAATAAAAAGATTGAGAACCGTTGTTTCTTAACGAATTTATTTTAAGGTATAATCAATCTTATAACAATATTAGGTAAAATGGATTCAACCCGCCCATTTTGTAAGTCCTTCGATATAAAACAGCGTTCGATTATACAAGCATTTCTTTTATATATATATATTTCATATTTTTAACATATTTTAATTGCCTAATAAATCGGAAAAAATATTATTTCAATTTTAAGTAAAAAAATTCGATGAACTTACAAAATCGATGTAAATTATTAATTAATAAAAATATTACGGTATTATTTCATGCTATTCAATAGTATCATATGATTACCTACAATTTACACTTAGTAATAATTTATAAAAATCACGAGATCTAAACTATTTATAATCGTTAAAATAAAAATTATGACGCGATGATATAGAAATAATCACCCTTATTACAAATTAAGATCATCTAAATTTCTTAATTCTTTATTTTCCATTTGTACTACGAAATTTAATATGAATCTGATTAATATTATTAATATTGATGTGCCAAAGATAATATAGGGTAGTTAATCGGTAGATTATACTGTACATTGAAAGGTTGATCATGAAAGGGTTCTGTTTCAGGATATTTATTTTTTGTCATTTAATTTATATTATTCGCGTTTGTATTATTCCGATGATGTTAAATTAACAACGAATTTATATAATTAATTATAATTAATTATAGCGTTTATTAAGTTTATAAAAAATATTCTTTTAATGTTTGTATATTGTTCATTTTCATATTGAATTATAGTATCATCGTTATAATATTATGCCATTCATTTTTTTTTTCTAAAAAATTCATGAATTGAATATTATTGAAGGTCTCGCCTCTAAGTTATTAATTAAAGTTCAATAAAATTTCTAATCTTTTTCAAAAAATACGCTTACGCAATTACAGTACGGCGGGTGGTACGATACTTTGTCTTTTCTTCATCCGATCAATATTATAATATTGATCTTTTATAGGAAATAATAATACATTAAATTTTGGTGTTATCACAAAACATGTATTTGTTGGTATTATTAACCAATCCGCTTTTTCAAATGTTAGAGGTTCTAAATAATTGAAAATGTAGAGAAGAGGTTAATTTATATATCATCGACAGTAAAACGTGAAAAAAAATAAGTGAGATAATTTTGATACCTGACGCAACTAATACAATATCTTCGCGTTTATCTGCTTTGATCTTCATGGCAAATAAATAAAAATCTAATAAGTAATCTGAAAGTGCATAAATTACAAAGAACGCCTTAAAGAAATAAAATCAATCATACCATTCTATAATGTCCAGGTTTGTATTCTTTAAAATTCGTTCCTAAATTTAGGAATAATATTCGTATGCTATTAATTTTTTAAAAAAAAATTTTAAAAATGTTGAATATTACCTGATGAAAAATATAAGGAAGCCGCCTCTTCAGTCTTACTATTAATATATCTAGTACATACGACAGAACATCCGTCTGTGACTGCAAAATTAAGTAGTGATGGCTTTCAAAGAAAAGAGATAGGTAATTATTAAAAAAAAATATTCGATATTTAAAAAAAAAAATTGATATCTTTATTACCTCTGTAATTCCAGCTTCTTCAGCCCATATATTTAACTGTTCAATGGTTTTTAACATCGCTTTCTTCAGCGTTTCATGATCAAACCTTTCAGCTTGTGGATCTCTCAACTAAAAGTAATGAAAAATTTATAATTAGATCAAATTAAATTAAGTTAAATTATCGTTTATTATATCCATACCTGATTAAGAAACAACGCAAATGCCCACTCAGAATCCGTATTTCCTTGTACAAATAAAAATATTTCATCTCTTAATGATTGCTGTAACTTTCTTTTAATCTATAACATAATTGAAAATAAAACCAATAAATTTTTTTTAATAAAAATTAAAACAAACGATAATTCTTAATTATTTTTTACTAAAAAAAAAATAATAATAACCTTATTAAAATCTTGTATATGTCCATTATGCATCCACATTAATCTATTATATTTCCATGGATGACCTGTTAATAAATAAAAAAAAAAAAATATTTAAAATGAAAAATCTCTTTCTCTCCTATCTCTTTTCTAGTAAAAACACTTACAATTATTTTCGGATAAGGTCCCAGAAGTTGAAGCTCTTACATGAGCAAACACTAAAGGACTCCTTATTTTCTCTGCAAGTCTTGCCAAATTTTGATTATTCCACGCCGGCGTTACTGATGCAAATATACATGGTGTATTATCAGGACCTGGATTTGATTCGTACCATCCTAAAGAAAACAATTATTTTAATTAAAAAAAATTTCAAAGGAAATATTTACGCATACGTGATGCATTACCTACACCAAATCCATCCCCTGGAACAAAAACAACAAAAAAAAAAAATTAAATAATAATATTAAAAAAAAAAAAGAAAGGATTAAAATGATGTATATACATACCATTAATTGGGCGTCTTGTATCTATTCTAAGTCTACAATCAAATGATTGATTTATTATCGAATGGGCCGGCCGAGTAAGTAACTATTAAAAAGAATAATAATAATTATTATTCGTACAGAAAAGAAATCTTAACGGAACTCGGTTTAAAAACAATACTTTACATGCGCTAGTTGAATTGAATCTTTTCCTTTATAGAGTAAAAATCTACACATGGTAAAATTAGATTACGCGAAAATAAAATTTCGAAAGAAAAATCAAAAAGCATTATTAGGCGCTTTATATATATATATATATATTTCTCAAGTGATAAATCGGCTATGCAATCACTTGATAAGGATAGTAAGGCTAATTGTTTATCATGGCTAAGTTGCAATAAAAAAAACAATTCTCTTGTACAAAAAAAAAATTTTTTCGATGGCGAAATTTTGTTAAAAATGAAGTTATATAATTAAGGAAATCCCGTTGATAAAATAGCGCAATAATTTAAATCATATGATTTGACATTATCAATTACCAATGATCTCTGAATTGTGAATCAATGATTAGCGACTTGCCTATTTCTGGCCTTATTAAGGAAATTTAAAATGAAATCTATTCCTTATGAAATACCATATGTGAAATATTCATAAATAATAATTAAGATGATCTATTAATCTACAAAATAAACTTTTTACAAGCGATCATTTATTTATTCTTTTTCCCACGTTTTTTTAATTCTCATCTCTTTCATTTTCAGAGAAAAAAAATGGAACCATCAACATACACACAAATGCAAAATCAGCAACAAAGACAAAAAACCCCTTCACCATCATCAACTACAATAATGCAACCACCTCCAACTCCTCCTTCTACTACGAATAACACTCCAGCGCCTAATGGATTGACATCACGTGGAAAAACAATTCCTATAGAGAAAAGAAGCGATATTGCGTGTAATGGCGCAGAAGATAAAGATACTCCGCGTAACCAACCAAAGAAAAAAAATTTAAGAAAAAGAAAAATTAATAACAATAGTAATAATGAGAAAGATGAGAAAGAAAAAGCTGGAGAAAGAGATAGTAAATCAAAGAAAGCTAGAGTCAAAGACGTGATCAAACTTAAGAAACCGAAAAATCCTTATTTGTGTTTTGCAAAAGCAAATAGGTAAGTACAGTATAATTATTATATATTATTTGAAAGAAATATAGATTTTAAATTGTGATGTCATTAGAGATGAATTTAGAATAAAGTATCCGGATGCACTTTCAAGAGAGATAACTTCATTACTCGGGAAAGCATGGAAAGAATTAAGCGATGAAGAGAAAAAGGTAATTAGTATTTGGCATATTTTTCTCTAAATAAAGGAAGTTAATAAATTCTAACATTATTGAAGCCGTACATTAAAATGGCACGAGATGAAGCCAAAGAATACAATCTAGCTATAAACGAGTTCAAGGAATTGGTATTAATGAGTAATGTCGTTATCGTAATTAAATTGTATTTAGGGTAATTTCTTATAACCCTTACAGGAAAAGAATATCGATAATGAAGAAAAGGAGGATTTGAATTTTTCACATGGTATTCCATCCGAACAATTTGTAGATTTTAAATCATTGCTCGGATCTCCAATTTCTTTCGGTCCATTTGAAGCGAACCTTGAGGCTCAACATGAAATTTTATCGCAAGGCAGAGATTATGTTCCAAGTGAAATTAAATCTAGCGAATCTCCATTGGGCATTTATCAAGCGAAAGAATCAACAACGAGAGCAGCTGTTGATAATATAGACGCATCACAACAATCGAAACAACCGCAACGACCGCAGCAACCGCAGCAACCGCAGCCTGTTCATGATATACCCTTTCCTTGTGAAGAACAAAATAATTATATGCCAATGCAACATTCTTCTCAATCATTACAGCAATCTCAACTAAATTCACAATCTAATTATATACAATTCGACTTACAAACATCGCAGCATCAGTCTCAAAACAAGCCACATTGTCAGTATAACACGAACATGATAAATTCTCAATGTTTAAACCAACAAAAAAATCAACTCATGAATTCTCAGGAAGGGTCACAAGTGCAAGAAGTGATGCCTCTATCTCAGCAAAATCAAATTTGTCAACAGCCATTTCAACAGCCTATGCCTTATGCTTCATCGCACATGCAACCATTCGACCATAAACTATATCCAAATAACTGTAATAGTTCACACGACATGAAGATCCAGAATATGCCGGAGATTTCCAATTGTCCTCCAACGCAACCTTATATGCCACCATCAACATCTCAAATTCACCAAATGCAACAAATATCGTGTCAACCTCATCAGCAACAGATGATGTTTCAACATCACATGATGCAACCTTCGTGGCAAATTCCAAGTTTTATTCCAACTCAAACCAACCATCAGATAATGCCATTACAACCTAGTACGCGCTATAATCAAATGCAGTATAACCAGATGCAGTATAATCAGATGCAGTATAGTCAGCCGATGAATTCTTATCGTGAAATGTTACCTCTTCACAGCACTGGCATCGGTATGCCGCAATTTATGTCTTCTCATCAGATGCAACATGATCAAATGCCACAGGTAATGCAACCACTAATGATGAATGATAAACAACCTTCGGTTTATCAAATGGACATGTATGATATGCGTCAACGTCAAAATCCAATTCTTCAACATCATCAAATGAATTGGCGGACATATTAAAATTAGCAACATGTAAATAATAGATGCTTAATGTATTATAATTCGTACAATTTATCTATCTTAATATTTATAATTATAATAATATTACTTTACTGTATATTATCCGTTGAGAAAAAGGGGACAGTTTTAAATTTTTTTAATAATAACCAGTCTTAATATATTGCATTAAAAGCATATTGATAAAAAATCTTTTTTTACGTCATGTGATTTTAAGCAATTATATGTACATGAATTAAAAAAACTAATTATTATCATAACATAAACCATTCGTTTTAAAAAATTTCAGTGCCAAGTTTTTTCTCGCAATAAATTATTTTTTCCTTTTTGAGTTATTATCTTTTACGTGTGTCATGGACCACGACGAGTGAAAAGAATGAATTAGGACCCTAACAAAAATTTATAGTTCAATCATGTAATAAATATTTAATTAAATCAAATAATGGATAAAAATGTGCATTATTGTATCATATTTATTAATATGTATTTAAGTCTAGGAGAATTTCTCTTTATTATATTTCGATTTTATTGATTGCAACTTAATACATAGAATGACACAGCGTGGAGCAATATGATATTATCTTAATAAAAGCCATTTTTAGCCTTTTTAAAGCAAAAGCTTATATTATTGTTTTTATAATTTCTTTTCTCCATAAATTTGATTTATAAACCCTTCTATTAGCACAATTTAGTTTAATTTTATCAAAATTCAAAAATAAAGATAAAGGTATGTGGTTTTATATTTTATTGCTTTTGCTTTACATGAATTTTCTTATTAAATTAATATGTTTTTTTTGTAGTATGATGCTTTACAAGTTTATTTTTGTGTTGTTGATTGCTCATCTTGCATCATTCCATTTTGAAACATGGTCAGAAAACAACTATACTTCTAAAACTTATCATCAAAGAGGAACTTTTGTACCTGGTTTTATCATTAAATCTTACAGATGGGAAAGTCCAAGCGGTGATGGATGTTGTGTTAAAATGTGCTATGGTAGTAGAAATGTTAGGTATTGGTGTTCATCTTATAGCAATGGTTTACCAAGCTCTAAATTCAACAAAATTGTTATTGGATGTGGTGACGAACAGCTAGTTTGTAATTGATGAATTATTTACTGAATATTCTAGTCAAGTATTTGATAAAAATAAAATTTAGCTATATAAAGATGTATATTCTATATATTGCATAACACAATTAACACATGCAATGATAAACCGCTTTAAATTGTATACAGTACAGACCGAACCTCTATTTAAAACGCAATTGGTGATCTTAATTTCGGCCAGAATTAACGATATTCTAATTCAATTGTATCTATTTTGATTTAAAAATGATGTAACCTCAACCATAATTACATAATTATATAAATCAATCAGAGACTACTTTAATGAAAACCCTGCTGGAGCCGAGAATTAATATTTATACCAATCTCAATAAAATAAATCAAATGAAATTACTTCATAATTTCCCTGTCTTAAAAAACATCAAGATGCATAGAGGAAGATACTTATAACACGTTAATGCAGAAGATGACACGTACAGTAACGGACGATTTGCTTTAAAGAAGGGTATTTTAGCATGTTTTCTTCTAATAAAACAGTCAAGATAGTTCTATTCAGCCAAAGAATGGTTTATTCCTTCAATTACTGTTAGTGTCATTTGAATCATTAGTTTGAACGGTTCAAAGTTCCACATAGAACATGAAGTTATTAATTTAATCACTTTATCACATTTTCAAACCCGCAGATACTTTCTGTTTATAATTGGATATTTTCCATGCAAAACTTGGATATTTATGAATCTTACGCATTTTCAGATACACTTAAATATTTTCTGTGCATTGTTTTTTTATAATGCTAATAAAAATTATGATTTAATCATGTTAAGATTTATAATATTAATATCTTTTCTAACCTAGTCCCCTAGATTGCAAACGGAAAAGATCAAGTGATATTAGTAAGATGGATTGACATTAGTTTATAATTTATGGATAGATTAATAAGATACCATGATAAAAGTAGAGTAAGTATGAACATCATTATTTTTCGTGTTTTAACATTTCTTAAAATTTGAATTCTCTATTGGATGAGACCAAAATCCTGGCTCCATCATTGCAATCATTTTTGCGATAAATTTCACCCGTTGAAAAAAATCTTATCATCCATAAGAGCCAAATGGGACTGTCTATATGTAAAAAATTGTTGAGAATCGATTTTGCTATTTAAATTCGATTTTTTTTCAGAATCGACTCCAATCCCTAAATCAAATATTCACAGCGATAATTATTTAATTATTTATTTTTTTAAATAAGTCATGGATGATAAAAATGCAGCTTACCAGCTTTTAAAATTACATGCAAAAGATCAATTTGTTTTTGGAATATATCCAGATTGAGCAGCAGATCAGTTTTTATAGCGTAATCGGAGCAATTGAAATATTTTTTTCCCAGATGTACAGGAATTTATGCGTCCAGTACATTCCGAATTTCGTTCACTGGGACGTGATAGTCGTGACATGTGACAAATAGTTATAGTCATCGGCATATATATAAAAGGAAAAAGGAGTATTTCATAGGTCCGTATCAGCCTGATCTGCAGAATTGACACAATCACCCTTTAATTTAAAATTTAATTAGGATGAAGATAAAACTTTAACTAAGGCGATTGATCCTAATGTCAATAATTAAAATAAAATCATTTTAAATAAAGTGCTTTATGTAGTGATGTGCAGTCGTTATCTCCGTGCCCACACATAAAGTTGCCAGACTTGAATATACCATAATCTTATTAAAAGTATTTGATTTCGCGTTGTTTATTTGTATTTATGGAATTTGGTTCTATTTTTTTTTTCCTTTTTTTATCGATGATGATCATGTAACTCAATTGAAAATATCTTGGCCTAATATGTTTAGTCATATTGCGCGATGCTGTGGAAACGTGATACAAAGAATGCGTTCTTACAACAGAGTATTGTCACTTCCATGCATGATACAAATAAATAAAATGACGAATTGTACGTGATGATTAATGCGGCGTTAACAAACTTTTACGTATTGATCGACCGTAAGTTTGTTTATAAAGTTCTTGTGTTTTAATTTTTTACCTTAATTGCTATTTAAAAATGCAAACTATTAATGATCCAAATGAATGGATAGAAGATGCAATTTCTAAGAAACATATTAAATATTACAAATATGAAGATTTTCGTGATGTTCAAAAAATTGGTAGTGGTAACTTTGGAAAAGTTTATCGAGCAAATTGGAAGAATTTGGAACAATATTTCGCATTAAAATCTTTATCTAACCTTGATAATAAAGCTATAAAAGAAGTTGTTAAGGAGGTAATTATATAAATATATTATTTATCTCTACTATTTATATATATATATATATAAATTTAAATCATTTTTAATTTTAGATTGAAATTCATCGTGACGTTCATTTTCATAATAATATTATTAGTTTTTTTGGTATTACAACTAAAGGTATGAAAACAAAAAAAAAAAAAAAAATTTTTTAATACTTAATTATATATATATTTTTACCCTGAATTTATTAATAATATTATTTTATTATTTTACTTTCTTTTTTTAAAAAAAATAGGAGAAAGTCAAAATGGTCAATTCAAAAAATATTTGTTAGTAATGGAGTATGCCAATGGTGATACTCTTCGAACATGAAAAAAAATACAAAACTTACTTGGGAAGATAGATATAAATTTGCATATCAATTAGCTGACGCCGTATCATGCTTACACCAATCAGACATAGTTCACCGTGATTTGGTAATTTTATTATTAATATTGAATAATTCTAAAATTGAAATGCAACCACATATATGCGAAATTCATTTTTTTTGAAAAAATTTGATTTTATTTTATAAAATTAGCATTCTGGTAATATATTGATAGATCGAGGTAACATTAAATTAGCAGATTTTGGATTATCAAGGAGAATTGATGAAGTATCTAGAGCACATTCAACAAATTCAAGTTTATTTGGCATAATTCCTTATATTGATCCAGAGAAATTGCGTAATCCAAAATATTCTTTAAATAAAATGAGTGATGTTTACAGTATTGGAATACTTTTATGGGAAATTTCAAGTGGTCATCCGCCATTTAAAGATGAATCATATGATCTTTCTTTATTTATACAAATATCGCAAGATTATAGAGAAACAATTGTTCCGGGCACTCCTATTGATTATTCTAATCTTTATACTGGTAAATATATTACGATTTTAAATTATAGATTATAATAGTATTATAAAAATTATAAAATTAGGTCTTATGTGAATTTTTTTTTTTTTTTAGAATGTTGGAATGGTGTCCCCGATAATAGACCAACTATGGATCAAGTAGTTGTTAAATTAAAAACAACTCTTGCAAATTCAAATATAACAACAGAGAATGATCAAACAGATAAATTAAATTCTAAATTACAAAATGAACAACAAGTTAATGATAATATACCAAATACTACCGATTCAGTGCATGGAGACTTATCTCAATTTATTAATAATTTTCATAAAATGGATATTAAGGAAACCACATCTCCAACTACATCAATGGACGTCAATGAAAACATATTTGAAGAGGAATTAAGAATAGTAGTCGACGAATTAGTTAATCATTATTTAAAGGAAATAAATGAAGGAAAAGAGAGAAATGTGAGAAAGCAACATATTATCGATTATGTTAATAATCACAATTCACAAGAAATGTATAATTGGCTTCTAAATAATCAAAATAATCCAAATAACATTTTTATACTTGGATATTTTAAATATCATGGTATTGAAACTAACACTGATAAAAGAAAAGCATTTGAATTGTATCAAAAAGCAACAAAATTAAATAATAGTGCAGCCCAACACGAGCTCATTAATATATATACCTACGAAGATGATGAATATAAAAATTACGATAAAGCTTTTGAATTATCGAAAGAATTGGCAGAAAAGGGTTATCCAGGAGGGATAAGTAGGTTAGGGTATTGTTATGATCAAGGAATTGGAACTGAAATAAATATAAACAAGGCATTTGAATTATATCAAAAAGCGGCAAATTTAGGACATAGCAGTTCTCAATATAATCTTGCTGATATGTATTTATATGGAGATGGTGTTAATAAAGATCATAATAAAGCTTTTGAATATTCTGAAAAATCGGCGGAAGCAGGACATTCAGGTGGAATACGTATGTTAGGTTATTGTTACGATTATGGAATTGGAACTATTAGTGATAAACAAAAAGCATTCGAGTTATACCAAAAGGCAGCAAATTTAGGAAATAAGGAAGCCCAATATAGTCTCGCTATCATGTATGAAGATGGAGATGGAATAGAAAAAGATATTAGTCAAGCGATTCATTGGTATGAAAAATCTGCCGAACAAGGATATCAAGAAGCTAAAGAGAAATTAGAGAAATTAATTTAAATTAATTTATGACTATTTTATAGTGTTAGAATAGTTTTGTAAAAACACGTATACTATATAATCAAAATTTCATATTTATCATTTAATACAATTTGTTTCGTTTGTAACTGAAATTTCACTAGGTTTTTATTTGTGGGCATTTTAAGTGAATTTTATAGAATTTAAATCCTTTCATACGTTTTTACTTACTAAATAAAAAAGAAAAAAAAAAAATATTATCTATTAGAAAAAAACGCATAGATGAACTTCTCTTTCTTATCGCAAAAATACTCAAATGTATATTTTCGGATGCTTTCCAGACGTTTCAGACCTTAATGAATTTGTTAACTAAAGAATATATCCCAATCGTATAATATCTTTTTTTTTGTCACGTTAAAATTACGTTTCTATCGTAAGTGCTACGTGCCTGGGAACATTTTTCTTTTTAATTATTTAAATATAATAGAGATTAAATACAACGGGTTCAAATTTTTTCATTGATATGGCTTTAAATATCTGTATAAAATATTTGTGCATTTCCCACGCTCACGTTCAGAAAATAATAAAAATTTAATAAGATACAAAAGCTGCGCCGCAAATTATCACAAACATTCTAATTATTCTTGATCCTTCTTTAGTTACAACTTTGCCATCAACAAATGGTGGTTTGGTCTATAATATACTTTAACAGTTCCTTTACGTCAAAATAATATTGAAATTTGTCGCCTTACGCCCCAATTCCCAAGTTGATGAAATAAGTCTTCATAAGCCAGTCAATTTGGAGTCATAACTGAAATAAAAGAACTGAATTGTAAGACTGAATCATAAAAACGGACAAAACTGACAATTGAATTTTAAATAATAATTTATTAATTATTTATACAAAAAGAAAAAGCCAATTTTTTAAAGATTCTTTATTATCAGAATAGATGCGTCTCTATTTTATGAGAACGAGTATGACGATGTAGTTGTTCAAATTTAAAAAAAACTCTATCGCATATTTCACATGTATAAAAACGACAGTAGAAGTGTTATCAGTTATTAATAGTTTTATTTCCTTGTATAGCACATAAATTTGCTGCTTTTCGATATAATTCAAATGACTTTTGTTCATCAATATTAGTTCCAATTCCATATCGATAACAGTATCCTAAATTATTCGTTCCAGATATACTTCCTAAATTTGCTGCCTTCTGATATAATTCGAATGCTTTATGATTATCAATACTGGTTCCAATTCCATATTGATAACAATATCCTAAATTATTTGTTCCAAAAATATTTCCTAAATTTGCTGCTTTTTGAAATAATTCAAATGCTTTTTGTTTGTCAACATTAGTTCCTATTCCATTAAAATAACAATATCCTAATTGTGTTATTCCTTCTGGATATTCACCTTCAGCCGATTTTTTAAATAATTCAAATGCTTTATCATAATCTTTATTACATTTATAATAATTTCCAAGATTATATTTAGCGATATTATTTCCTAAATTTGCTGCTCTTTGAATAAATTCAAGTGATTTTTGTTGATCAACTTTAACTCCAATTCCTGAATAATAAAATTTTCCAAGTAAAATAATAGAATTTGAATTATTTTGATTATTTAATAACCAAATATAAATTTTTTGTAAATTTATATTATGATCTTTAAGATAATTAAGGATTTCTTGATTATTTATTTCTTCATATGACTTATTAAGAAGATTAACTATCTCGTTAACTATCATATTAAAATTAATTTCAGGTAAATTAGGATTATTTGATATCGTCGAGGATTCCTGGTTAATCTCATGTTCACGTTCACTTGTTGATTGAAAATTTGTAATACAATTATAATTTTCTCTCGTAACAATCGTTTTTAATTTATCAATAATTTGATATATAGCTGGTCGATTATCTAGATCATTATCCCAACATTCTATAAATATAAGAAAAAATAATCTTTTAATTAATTTAATCGTAAATCATTAATTTGGAAGGTTTTTAATTTTATATTCACCTGTACAAATTTTTATATAATCTCCAGGTACATTAGTCTTTCTAAGATCTTGTATTATTCTATTAACGAAATCATTAAATGGTTCATTAACAGAAGGTAACTGACCGCTAAATATTTCCCATAAAATTACGCCAATATTGTAAATATCAACCTTTTCATTTAATGAATATATTTGCATTTGCATTTGATCGTCAATATCTTTTCGTCTACCGAATACCTTTGGATCAACATAAGGGAGATTAGAAGATTCTTCAATTCTTTTTGTTAACCCAAAATCAGCTAATTTGATGGAATTTCGGTGAATCAATATACTACTACTAGAGTGCTATTATTAAAAATAAAATGTATTAATTTATAATTATATTAGATAAATATTATCTTAGATAAAAATGTAAATAAATTACCAGATCACGATGTACGATTCCTTCATCATGTAAATATGATATAGCAGAAACTAATTGAAGTGCTAGATTTAATTTATCATACCAAGTGAGATTACAAAAGTGTTTTTTCAAATATTCTTGAAGAGTACCACTATCTGCGTACTCCATTACTAATAGATACTTCTTTGAATCATTACTTGGAATTTCTTAATAAAGAAAATAATATATACGAATTAATATGTCATGATTTAATTAAATAACAAAGCGACAATATATATTTAAATTTTATTATACCTCCTTGATTGAAATTTGTAATTCCATAAAAACAAATAATATTTTCATGAAAATTAACATCATATTGAAACTTAAGCTAAATAAAAAAAAAAAGAAAGATTTTAGTATACTGTATATATATATATATAAAATAAAAAATATTTAATAACTTACCTCATTAATAATTTCTTTAGCCGTGATGTTATTGAGATCAAACAAAGATTTCAATGTAAAACATCTATGAGAATTTTTCCAATTTGCACGATAAACTTTTCCTAATTTTCCCAACCCAATTTCTTGAATATTACTAAAATGATTATATTCATAATATTTAAAGAAATTCTTCGCAATGGCATCCTCAATCCAATTAATCCAATCATTTGAATCGCCAGTAATTTTAAGCTTAATGTTATTAGGCATTGTTAAGTAAAGAGAAATTCTTACTACGAAAAATTTTAAATTTTATGTTTATCAATTATTTGAAAAAAAAAAAAAAAGAATTTCAACTATTTATTATATAAATAGTAAATTGTCAATCATCTCGAGCCCGCCGAATCAGGTAATAATAATCGCTTGTAAATTACTAAAATACTTGTAATATGTCAGGAGAAATGTTACATGAAGATAATCTTCATATGATAAACCGTCATGTGTCCAGCCGCGTTGAAGATAGGAATTATTCACTATAACAAGGAGATTTTTTTTTTTTAAAAAAAAAAAAGAACTCGATTCAACGGTATAACTAATTTATACTCGTACATACAGAATTTTAACTCATCATGTTTGAAAAATGTTTCTATTTAAAGTTTCTCGTGAACTTTTTTTCTCTCTTTAATCTCGTCGAGCCAATAAAACCAAAGATAAAGTAGTAAAAATTGAGAAACGTACTCAATTAATCCATCCCCTAATTGATTAAATTCACATTTCTCCTTGATCACACGGTTTCTTTAATTCAGAAATTTTTGACAAAGTTGTTTAACTACTCACCTGCTTAAATAAATAGATATCTGTGTTGTACTTGTTTCTACTTTTTCATATACACCCTTTTTACGTTTCTTTAAATTCATCACAATAAACATGTTAAAAAAGAAGGTATGGTCCATAAATATTTGATGGAAATGAAATTCTAAAAATGGTTAATAAATGAAAATCATATGAAATTTTTAGTCGATCAATTTTTTTTTTAATATTTTAAATAAAATAAATAAAATAATATGTATAAATTTTATCGACAAAAAATTTATTTTCAATATCACCAAAGCTGAATTGATTCATTAACGTTAACAGTTAACGCAAGAAGAATATTTGGGATATATGCCATATATATATATATATTTTTATAGTTGCTTATATTGTATAATAATATCTATAACAGATAAACATTATTACAACGATCAACTAATTAAATACCGGTACAATCGACATATCAGATATATCTGTGGATTATTCATCATTAAAATCGTTTTTTTAAAGAATCAAATGTATAAATTAAATCAAATAATCATGTGACTGCGAAAAAATATTCTTTTTTTTTGGCTAATTATTGTTTCCAGAATTGGTAATCATTATCAGCCCAACGTTAAATCATGTGAAATGAAATTTAAGAGATTAAGAATAAATCATCATTGTTTCCATATTTCTTCAATAGATTACGCCCTTGAGTTTCATAATAGGGTCTTACAACATTTGTAATCAATAATTTTTAATTGATTCTCAAATAGTTTTGATTAGTGTTCATGAATTAATCTATATTAATATGACTTAGGTTTTTTATTTAAGGAGAAATCTGATAATAGATAAAGCTGTTCCACTAATTTTTATTATATAAAAAACGTCCCAATTATCATTTGTATCAATGAGTCTATAAAGGAGGGCAAAAATGATATATATCACAAGGGTGGCAAAATGAATAATAATAAACTTATTTTCATTTTAAACTCAAATTCTTTATATATTGTAAAAAACAAAATATGCAAGTCAAATGATTGTACATTGGGCGCATTGGCTTGCATTAAAAAATTTTGTGGTGATAATGTGCATTTTTGTACACAAGAACAATTGATAATGCACAATTCCGTGTAAAAAAGTTTAAATTGGCAAAAATCGGACAAAAAACTATGTAAATCTTCCGCAAATAATAATAAAAAAAAAGACCGTTAATTATCACGCAGTGTTTTAAAATTTAACCTTGGTTTTTTTAGTTGAAAAGGGTGCAACAAAAGTCAGGAAGATCATGAAAATCATGTCAAACATTCCCAGAATTTGAAAAAAAAAGACCCTAGTCAAATTAAATGATCAGAAAAAAGATATTTGTAATATATTAAAGTTATTAATTACATTAAAGCATCTTCAAATGTATTCACACAAATAAATAAAAAAAGACCGTTTACGTTAAAAGTGAAAAAATTATTAATTTATAATTATTGTTTTATTCACTTTTTACACATTTATTTCATTTATTATGATTATTATTATTTCAATTTCGTAAAATTAATAATAGGGTAAAGTTTTTAGTTTATTCCTGGTATTAGGGATTTTTCTTTTTTTTCATTTATATTCTAGGTTTGATAAAGTTTAATTGGTATATAGGGCTGATACGCTGTATTACTTATGATGTGATGATTAATTCAATTAGGTAGTTTTTCCGGTTACACAAACTGCACCATTCTTTCTATTCTTTCTTTAAAAACTCATTTTTGGTTTATACTCTGTTTTTATTTCTCAAAAAAAAAATCATTTATATGGTTTTTTTTTTTTGCTAGTCTTTTCTAATTTATGTCAAAAAGAAATATATATTTTTTTTACTGACAACTTTTTTTTAATAGCTTTTTTCTTTATTAACGATTGTTATTTTATTTTATTTTATTTTATTTTTTTTTTCTTTTTATTTATTACTAACAAATTAAATTTTTTAGCATGGGACAAGATACAAATATTAAAAATGAGAATGATTCCACATCAAATAATGAGGAAGAGCAAGCTTCAAGTTCTGTTATAACAGAAAATGTTGTTGGTAACGATAAAATAATCGATAAGTCCGATGAGTCGATTGATGATGTTCATGATAATTTGTCAGTCGGTATTTCTGGTAACGAGGAACAAAATATTACCTCCAATTTAATTTATAACCCAGTTGAAAAAGAAACAGAAAATCTCGAGACGGGTAAACGAGAAGTGTTCCCATCATCAGATGATGATTATGAACATACTAGTACAAGTCGTATTGATGAGAACTTGTATCAAAAAGTTTTAATTGACCAAGAAGAATCAGACAAAGAAATGGAAATTATTGAAGACCGAAAAGATATAAATGATGATGATGATGATGTATCTAGTGTGACCATTCAAACTTCTCTTCCAAAATCTCAATATACTGAACAACAACGAGAAGATACTTTAGATTATAATAATCAAACTCATACTTCTAATACAGTGGGTTCGGATGATAAAGAACGCACTAAAGAAGAAACTGATATTTCTATTGACAACGATATAATAATCGTTGAATCCGATGATATACAAAATAATTCTACAAATACTGGAGATTATGTTTCAGTCGGTGTTTCTGATAAAGACGATGATGATGATTATAACCCTAGTGTGAATGTTAAAGAAGCGGAGAATGTTGAAAATATCCGCATTAAAGCGAGTCATATTGAATATCGAGACGATCAAAAAGTCATAATTGATCAAGAAAATTCCGATCAAGAGATGGAAATTGTTAAAGATCGAAAAAATTTGTCCGATGAGACCATTCAACAACGAGAAGATACTTTAGATTATGATAATCAAACTCGTACTTCTAATACAGGGGGTTCAGATGATAAAGAACGCACTAAAGAAGAAACTGATATTCTTATTGGTAACGATAAAATCATCATTGAGTCCGATGATATACAAAATATTTCTACAAATACTGGAGATTATGTTTCAGTCGGTATTTCCGATAATGATGATGATGAAAATTATAACCCTAGTGCGAATGTTAAAAAAGCCAAGAATGTTGAAACTCTTAAACGAGAAAGTTCTAGTCATTTCAATGTACCACCAGCAGCTGATCAAAAGGTCTTAGCTGGTCAAGAAAATTCTGATCAAGAGACGGACAATGTTGAAAATCGAAAAGATTTACCCGAACTTTTTGGAGATGATGATTCAATCAATCAAACTGTGACCGTTCAGACTTCTTCTCCTAAATCTCGATATATCCAACATACTTTAGATTATGATAATAATAGGCATGCATCTGAATTATTTAATACAAAGGGATCAACGAGCGAATTTGAAAGCGGTTCAAAAAAATATGACCATGATATAAAAAGTAAAAAGAAATCAAAGAACTATGATGATGATATCAGCGAATTCCCGGACAGGAAAGACAACTTTCCATCTTCAGCGGGATATAATCGTCCAAAGTCTGAACATGATACAAGAAGTAAGAAATCAAAGAAATCAGATACGACCGTAAGCCACGACTACGATGTTGATTATGATGATGATGTCGACGAATTCCCGAACAAAAAAGATGACTTTCCATCTCCAACGGGAAAAAATAATAAGAAAGAAAAGTTTGATTCTCACCATAGAGGAAAAAGTGATGAAATCACCCATCGTCCAAAAAATCAAGATAGTCAAAGTCAGTCTTTGGGTGATTTATCAGATGAAGAAGCTGAAAACCCAATTTCAAAGTCTCGTAGTACTGTGAGAAAACAAGAAAGTGACAATGACGACAACGTTGATTACAGTAGTAATGAAGAAGGTAACATTTCATCTGCAAGGCGTATCAATAAAAAACAGGTAGAATCTCCATATACAAAAAATAAAAATAATCAAAATCTGCCTATGCATGGTGGTATGCAAAAAAAATTGGATAGTGAGAGTGACTCTCAGGATGAGAATGATGATTATGAGGGAGATTACTCTCCATCTTCAAGCCATTCCAATAAAAAAGATGCCGAGTCTTATTTTGAGGAACATTCAAAAAATAAAAATGACCAAAATATGCCTATGCGTGGAAAGAAATTAGTTAATACGAGTGACTCTCAGGACGATAACGAAGATCATGAAGAAGGTTACTCTCGTATCAATGAAGATGATGTTGGGACTTATACCGAAGAACCAATAAACGAAACCAATCGACCTAAAACTAATAAAAATCGGTCTACGCAAAGGAAATTAGAAAATGCGACTGACTCTCAGGACGAGGATGAAGAAGGTTACTCTCGTGATGTTGAGCCTGATAACGAAGAACCAATAAACGAAACCAATCGACCTAAAACCAATAAAAATCGGTCTACGCAAAGGAAATTGGAAAATGCGACTGACTCTCAGGACGAGGATGAAGATCATGAAAAAGGTTACTCTCGTATCAATAAAAATGATGTTGGGACTGATACCGAAGAACAAATAAATGAAATCACTGGACCTTTAAACAATAAAAACAATAAAAATCGGTCTACACATGGCGACATGCAAAAGAAATTAAGTAATGTGACTGACTCTCAGGACGAGAATTATGATAATAATATCAGCGACTCCCAGCAAGATGACTTTCAATCTGAGTCTTACGAAGGACCCAGGGATGATACCACTCATTATCCTGAAAACCACAACAGTCAAAGTGATCATAGAGACAGTAATAACAATCGAAAGAAAAAATGGATGCCTAACATGCCTAACGTGCCTAACGTGATTAAAGGATGGATTAATAAGGGTCCAGGAGAGATCAAAGTTACCTTCCATGTTCATTTTCCAGAGGATATTGATGTTGTTGGAAAACCTGTGGTTTTTGGTAATGTAAAAGAACTAGGTAATTGGAAATATCCTAACATAAAATTTCATAAGCAAAATCATACGTATTGGCGATCCGATCCCGTTACTATATCTCTGAGATCTGAAAGAGAAAGCGACGAAATTCAATATAAATATGCTATTTATATAGCTAATTTTTATGGTAATGGAGAAATTGTATGGGAAGGAAATGATGGTCAAGATAATCGCACGTTGAATATCGAGAGGAATAATCAATTTGATATATTTATGAATAATTATCATTATCGATTACAATACATACGTGAATTTGCTTTCGTGGACTATATCTTTAATTCCATTAAAGATAATAACCTTAAGGATAAAGTTATGGAATATCAACATTTATTAAATCTTTACTATGAATCTGTGATCCGCTCGTCAAATTACGAATCCATTGCTAAGCGTATTGGTGATAAATCAAATAGAGACAAGCGTACTGATAATAAATTAAGTAGAGACAAACTACTTTTCTTATGTCTTCTTTTAGGATACTACACTTTAAGGAGGCAAGGTCATTTCCATGAACTAAAAAATTCATTCCCATCTGGAGTGTTACTTAATGCACTTGAAGACTATAAAGATGAAACTTTACCTTCAAACACCAAAGACCAAATGTATAGTGGCATTATGATCTTAATCCAGCACAATGCTGCTCTGATGCAGTTTGATTGGCTCATTATTTTTACAATTGCGTCTGAAGTTGATCCTAATTTTTCTTTCATTGATCGGTTGAAATTTTTAAAGTATACTGATGAGGATTTATCGAAATTTATTCAAGGATTAAAAATGGTCAAACCTTACATGGATGGCATTGAACCCGAAATTTACATTAAACTTGCCAAGGTAAATTTAAATATAATTTTTGTTTTCGAAAATTTACAATTAAAATTAATTTTTTTGATATCTTTTATAGTGGTTAATTCGATTATGTAATGATATGGATTACCTTTTTCCGCTTTGGAATGAAATTCTTTTCCATAACAACAAAATTGATAAAATTATTTTTAAGAGTTTTAATGACCGACTTCGAGAATTTATCTCTCATGATGATGCTGTTGACTTAGAACATCATTTTAAGAGAGTTCCAGCTGATTATCGATTTGATGTGTCTGAAGTTTTCCGATCTCATGCTTTGTTTTTACTTGAAGGTTTGGACAGAAATTGGACAAAGGAAAATATCACTGCTATTACAACACTTCTTCATGATGATAGACTATATTGGACTAGAGAGGATGTTATTTTATCATTAGATTTGGTATCTCAGTCTAGCACTTTAGAATTATTAAACATATTTCCAGAAATTTTAGATGAGTGGTTCCGTAATGATTTTTCTGATAAAGAGAAGAAAATACCAAAAATCTGTATAACTTGGTTTAATAATCTTTTACCCAAACTTGGCACAGGTACAAGCACAAGCAACAAAAAAGACAACAACATTGTGGTTTTAGTATTTTTACAGTTAGAACGCATATACCCCCTACTTGGTCATCGAAAAAATGTTTGGCAAAGTTTGACAACCATTGCTGTAGATAGGGTTAAAGTGTGCTCGGAATCTCGAATATTTGCCGCAACAAAATTTTTAATTCGGATAGAACAACAAGAAATCAAGACGTTGTTTATAGATATGGTTAAAGAAATGCTAAATAAGTCTGTTCAACAAATTAACGATCAACTAGTAAATAAAATATATACAATATGCGATTGCAAAACAAAGATTTTGACGGTTCCAAACTTGTAAGTTCATTTTGTATATCCTTCTTTGTTTCTAGAAAAAAAAATCAACATTTATTTAATTAACTATTTTTATTAAATAATTTATTAGAATAAGCGAAGAAATTTTGTGTCATATCATGAATAGATTGCAAAGTCAATTTACTGCATCAAATCCTTCAGAATTTCATTTAAATATTCTAGGAGCTAGTGAACTTTGGAGAATTATATTATGCGCTACTGGAGATGTTACAAAACTTCATTCCAATCCATTTGTTAAACGTGTTAAAGCATCTATCAATGAACTCGGTGGATTACTCCGTGAAAAGACGGTTGACATACAATTATTGCAACAGCTCTTGGAATGTAAAAATGAAAGATTATTTCAACATTTTGGTGCCGCTGTTTCCAAAAAGAAAAATATAGGTGATGTGATTGTTTCGCGAGACGAAATCGCGGAACTTAGAAAGCTTTGTAACAACTTTCAAACTCAACTTGATGTCCTTTTTAAGTTTTATACCGACTTTTGTCCAGCTTCCCAAGTAGAAGATGCGGATGATTACATCCAAGATGTAAAACAACATATGCCAAATTCAAATAAAGTGATGTTGAAAGAGGCAATGTCACCAGATTATTGGGCTTTTCATGGAAAAACTTTGGAGAGTGCAAGGCGTTGCTACAAATATAATCAATCTCGATCTTTTCGAAATATCTTTGAAGTTTGTATCCGGGAAGATACTGCTGCCACAAAAGTGGAATATATAGCGCAAAGATTGATACCGGTAGTTTTTGAAAGATATAATACTGTTTGTAAACAACTTAAGGAATGGGACAAACTTAAAGTTTCAGATGTGGCTTTGTTTTGTGAAAATGTTACAAATATTAATGCGGAACTTGATTTAATAGATGGATATAAAGGTCACAAGAGTAACAAATTCGTACAAACCCTTGAGTATATTTCAAGGATTCCTCACTGGATTGAACGACTCAAAGAATTAGAAACAGTTTTACAACTTTTTAATATAGCACGTAATAAAGATGATTGGCTAAAAGAATCGATTGACTCTTTAAAAGGCGACTCCTTAAAAGACGATTCTTTAAAAGGCGATTTTTTAAAAAACAATTCTATGAAACTTAGTCAAATAATTAGTTTTTTCGCTAACCTTGATAAAAATCTTTACAATGTTAATGATGAATGTTGGAAATTAATAAAAGAGTTATCAAATGCAGATGATTTTATAAACTTTTTAAAAGAAATTGCTGAGCATGATATCAAAAATTTGATTAATGGTGTGGATGACCATTCGGATGAAAGATTGATTCAAGAGGATACTGTTTCATCGCTTATTCAAGTAAAGCGATTTTTATTACCTTTTATGAATAATAATGAAAGGGAAACTATTAAAAGCTTTTTAGTTTCGTTATCAAATGTTATAGACGAGAATCCTACTTTAGGGAAAAAGATTGCCTTATGTAACAGTTGCAATATGGCATTACGAAATATGTATCAGAGCATTGAAAATCGTGGTGAAGCTACTAAAGAAAAAATTAAGAATGCCGTACAAAATGGATCTTACACCTTTGGACGGGATGAAAAAGAAGACAAGTGTTTTGTTTCGTTAAAATATACTTCTAGGACTTCTAAATCAGAAATGATAATGACTTATAATATGAATGAAATCTTGGATTTACGTGGACGGGCTCTTTTGATTGCAAAACCTAAGATAAGCGAAAATGATGTAACTCATGAAAAAGATGAGGAAATGCCAAAAAATATTATAGATGAGTTTGTTGTTCAAGTTGATTTAGCACAAGAAATAATTGATGTGCTGTCCTTGTTAATTCAGTTGGGGCATTTTGATTACAGAAAGTTTGAAAAAGAATTAATAGGAAAAAATAAAAAAGATAGTATGAAAAAGTATTTGGAATTCTTAAGGGGCGAGCTCAAAAATTGGTAAATGATTTTCTTTATATTCATTTCATTCATTTTTCTCGCTTGCAATAAAGACACTAAGGAATTTACAATTTATAGGCAAACTATAGTAGATAATGCACAAGAAGAGTGTTATTATTTAACATTCTTCCCTGCCCGTCATATTTTGGCGTTCTATGATTATTTCACGTCAGAAAAATTAGATGAAGAAAACGAAGAAGAATGCAAAACATTAATTAGATTTGTGAACAGCAAAGCTCAATTACCACCTCGTAAGGACATTAAAGGAATTTCACGTGGATCTAAGGATTATCTTAAAATTCTTTGTGAAATTGGAAATGAATTAGAGAAGATTTTCAGAAATATTCAAAAACAACCTCGTAGACTTAAGGCTGCTGGACAACGCGTAGCATCGGATGTAGTTAAAAGAGGAAAATTATTTATTGCTGCTTGTGCTGACAATACAAAAGTTCCAAACATTATTATGTCATTATATGCTAATCATGGATATTATCCGGAACCGTGGCAACTCCTAATATGTACTTCTTCAACTACGATGGAAGAACTAACAATCTTCATAAAAAGAAGTTACTTTGCATCAGATAATGGCTATGAAGACCACTTATTTTGCATTGCAAATTTAGAATTATTGGACTTTGAATTACAATATGATTTAGTTAATCAAATTAGGTCAATGCAAGAACAGGAGGGCTATCTTTTAGCACTCATTTGTTGCAGAGAGAATGGAATCCATCATCATATTTTAGATCAATTCTCTTCAGATGTTAAGGCAACCAATGGATTAAATAATGATTCCATGAGAGGAATTTATAGGGAATTGTGTCAGAATGTCATACGTGTTTCTTCTGATTTATCAGGACAGGGCAAAACTGAATGGATTAAAGAAGATAGTTTCAAAAAAAAGAAAATTCCACGTAGCTTTTTAATAAGCGATGATATGGAGTTTGGCAGGCTTGTAAGTCAATTCAAAGAATGTAAACTCCGACCTGTAGAAAGTTTACACATAAATATAGTATCAGCTAACTATCCGGGAGACGTCAACATGTTTTTATTTGAATTATTAACTTTGGGTATTGTTTCTACAAATGTTGATATAGCTTGTCTGCCTCCATCAGAAACACCTACACATATATTTATCGAAATAGCTTCAACTACAGAACAGCATTTACTTAATTCTCTTCCTATGACAGGATATTTATTATTCAATCATATGTCTTGGAATATTAAAAGTTTGAAAGCTTCTCAAGAAATTAATAGTCCAATTCAGGTTACTTGTCATTATTTGAATTTATTGGATCGTAATGATATAGATTCAAAAGAAATCCTCTTCCGGACAGATAAAGCAATTAAAGATCCACTACCAGTAGAACGCTGTCAAAATCTTATTGAAAAATATTTCTTTAATAAAGGCAACAAAGATATTTCTTCCTTTAGATTTGTTGAAATATTTATTAATGTACTCGCAGATCAATTAGTTCGATTTTCATCAAGTCAATTTTTCACTGTAGATAATCTCAAATTAATGGTAAAAGAAACTAACATTAGAAAACTTATATTAAGTACCTTATTAGATGTTTCAAAAGATTTTGCAACCAGATCTATTAAAACAAAAGAGGCACAGCTAGAATCTACAAGCGCTATAGATGCCGATGATGAAAACGCTCGTCTTGGTACAATTGTTCAATGGGACGACTCAAATCATCTTATAGTATTTTTCAATTCTCAAACTCCCGATTCAATATCAGCGTTATATCGAGACAGAAATAAAGTTTATGAAAATGTAAAAATTTTATTAAAAAGTCAAGTAATTGGAGATCGAACGAAATGGGTGTTAGATGATTACAATTCGATGACTCCGGAAGCTCTTTTCTTAAAGTTAGAGTATTTGGCACGAAGGTCAACAGAAAAATTGGATCTTCCTGAATATGCTTTATCTGGTGATAACTTAATAAAGATGGCCTTAATTCTTTTAAGAGCACGTGCGAATATTCCAGTGATAGTTTGTGGTGAAGCAGGATGTGGCAAGGTGATTTAATATGTTATTTTTATTATCGATGTTTTTTTCCTAAAAAAAAGATATTTATTAAAATTCTCGTTTCTTTTATAGACAAGTTTGATCGCTTATTTGGCCCTGATGGTTGAAGTTCAATTCCAGGCACTTAACCTTCACGCCGGAATCGATGAAAAAACTATTATGATGTTCATGAATGATTCTTTAGAAAAAGCAGAAAAAGGAGAAATTTGGTTATTCTTTGATGAAATCAATACTTGCAATTATATAGGTTTACTCGCTGATTTAATATCCCATCGAATGCTTAATGGGAAACCAATACACCCAAATATTCGTTTATTCGCTGCTTGCAATCCATACCGTCTTCGTACGAAAGCTCAAAGCCAAGCCGGTTTGACAAATAGAGTTAAAAAATTCGAGGAACAAAGTAAACTTGTTTATCAAGTCAAACCACTTCCTGATCAAATTTTAGATTATGTTTGGGACTACGGTATTCTGAAACCAGAAGATGAATACAGATATATTCAAATAATGGTTGATAAAGAATTAAAAACTTTAGCACATCCTGTATTTGCAGAACTTCTATTTGCTTCTCAAGAATTCATTCGTAATGCTGAGGAACGATATAGTTTGAGCTTACGTGATGTTAAACGAGCTATAAGATTAGTGAAATTCTTTCATAATTCTCTTCAAAATCGTCCGGTTTACAGGAGAGGACATACATATCCACCATCTGGTAATCCAACAATAAAGACCAGGTCTTATGTTCTGGCACTTAGTCTTTGTTATCATTCTCGGTTATATGAACAAGATTTACGTAAACAATATCGACAAGAAATGGAACAAATATTACATGAACATAATCCTTATGTAGGAGAAAATATGTTTGCTAAAATTATTCGTGAAGAACAGGAAGATTATATTAATAGGATGCAATGTCCACCTAATACGGCATATAACGAAGCTTTATTAGAAAATGTTTTGGTTATGATCGTATGCATTTTGACAAAAATCCCTCTGTTCCTTATAGGAGCGCCGGGCTCTTCAAAATCGTTAGCAGTTCGTCTTATAAGCTCAAATTTACGTGGTCCTGATTCAAGTGATAGGTACTTTAGAAAATTAGCACAAGTTTACTTAATTCCACATCAAGGCTCTTCATCTTCAACTTCTGAAGGTATCATAAAAGTTTTTGAGAAGGCAAATAAATTTCAGGAGACAACTTCCAAACAATTTCCTGTTGCTAGTGTTGTTTTACTTGATGAAGGTAATTTTGTTTATTTTCTTATGGTCTTTTTACATTATTAAGTTGTTCACATTATTTATTATTCTTTTTATAGTTGGTTTGGCTGAAACAAGTCCTTTCAATCCATTAAAAGTACTTCACTCTTTGCTTGAACCAAGTTATCCAGATACAGAGCCAACTGTTTCAGTGATAGGGATATCTAACTGGCGCTTAGACAACAGTAAAAGTAGTCGTGCATTACTTGTTCAAAGGTACGATTTTTTTTTACGATTTTTTTTTCAAAAAATTAAATATTAACATACATTTATATAATTTCACAATTTTGTCTTATTTACGATTTTCTTATATCCTCTCTACAGACCACAATTTAATTTGAATGATTTAGTTGATACTGCTGAACGCTTATTAAATGAAAGAGCTATTGCATCTGGTCAGAGAGGCGCCTTAAGACCTTTAGCTAAGGCATATTCAAATTTTGAAAAACATGGCCAATCTTCGTCCAACTTCCACGGTCTTCGTGATTATTATGCACTGGTTAAACGTCTTTCATTAAACGAAATGACTCCGGAGAATATTCAAATGGCATTAGCCCGTAATTTTGGAGGAACAGATAATCATGTCAAATTATGCGATCAATATTTTGGAAATGTTCTAAAAATGTTTAATAACCATAAGCCATGGACATATAAACAAGTTCCAGTCGAACAATTAATTGATACAAACTTAAAAGATTCTGATGCACGACATTTAATGGTTATCGGTAAAAGTGATTCAATTGTAAATTTGTTGACTTATCAGCTAAGAAGTAAAGATCCTGTTGTAATTCTAGGATCACAATTTCCTGATGATCAAGAAGATTATTATTATAGTGTTTTGAGGAGAATCATGGTTAAAATTTAATTTTCAATTCAAAGAGATTTTTTTTTCTAGAATGTTTATTTGTATTAAAAATCATTCTGTCATTTTAGATGTGCGTTGAAGCAGGCAGACCATTGATTTTAACAGATTTAGAAATAATTTATGGTAATTATTTCAATTACTATCATAGATATAATAATCAAGTAAATTTTAAATTTTTTTTTCCTATTCAATAGGGAGTCTTTACGATTTATGGAATCAAAATTATATTGTGGTGGGAAGTAAAGATAATGTAAAATACTTTACGAGAGTTGCACTTGGAGCGTATGCCAATCCTATGCTGTAAGTAAATTTGTGAAATTTATCATTCATATTTTATTATTACAAAAATTTTAAATAATAATAAATTTCTAGTTACGTTTCGCCGAATTTTAAATGTATTCTTGTTATGGATGAGAATAAATTGGCTTTGGCTGATCCTCCACTTCTTAATCGATTTGAAAAACAAAAAATGTCAATTAATGACATACTTGACAATAACCAAGAGTTATTTTATGAAAATTTAAATGATTGGGCAAGAAAATTCTCAACTTTGGTCGACAATAATCAAGCAACTCAATCACGTAATAAGTTTGCCCAGAAAGATCTATTCATTGGATTTGATAAAAATGAAACCTTACAAAGTTTAATTATTGACATTACGAAGAATAATCCCGAAGCAGATGAAGAAGAAATATTAGAAAAATGCAAAGAATGTTTAATTGCAACGGCGACTTCTGATGGTGTTGTGAGAGCTGAGTTATCAGCCTTAGAGCGAGATGAATTTGAAAAATGGAAGCATGTTTATTTCAATCAACAATATCATGATAGTCTTTATGATTACTTTACTGATTACTTTGATAATCAAGAAACGTCATCGGATCCTAATGGACATTTATTAATTATTAACACTTTCTCCAATATCAATACGGATGTTAAATCTTGTTTACAAAAAGTTAATTGTCAAGTAGATAAATTGTCGATTTTCAAGACTGAAGCTCAACTTTCGAATCGGGTAAGTCAAAAGCAATGATTTATTAAGTTAATGCATGATTTCTTGTTACTTATACAATTCTGTATTGTAGGTAAAACACTTTTGGTCTGAAGAATCAAATGATCAAATGCTAATTCTCCAATGCGATGTAACTACTGTTAGTTTTGGGTGTATTAAACTAGCTAAATTTATCATCGAACAATTCCGAAATGAATTTATAGCAAAGAAAGATCAACCTATGAAGCACGCGTGTATCATTCTTCATATTCATCGAGATCAGGAATCCACCTTTTCATCTTTTAATTTCATGTGCGGCTGGAAACAAATAACTATTGAAACATTATCAGGAAGTAACGTTCCTACATCAGGTCTCTTGGATGGGTCTTTATCTCGTATTGTTGATTCTACTTATCCATTTGAAAAAATTTTACAACAAGAACTATTATGGCTGTCTCTTATACACATCTAGATGTGTATAAGAGACAGATCTCGTATTGTTGATTCTACTTATCCATTTGAAAAAATTTTACAACAAGAACTATTATGGTGTCTATCATGTATGAAATATCCATCGAAAGATAAGTCAATCAATCATATTAAGTAAGTAACGCGTAAAGTAATGATTTTTTTGTCTTTCATAAATGTATAGTTTTTTAAAAAAATTTTTTTTGTGAACTTTTTTCTTTAGAACATTAAACGAAAAAATCCTAAAGTATCCAAACTTTATTAAATGTTTGAAAGTAAGAATCCTTGAATGGATCAAACAACAACCTACAAATAATTGGCAATATAAAGTCGCATCAAATAAACAAAATTTATACCCATACCCTTCATTTTCTGCAGCACTACAAACTCACATTAGAACACTGTTTAAGAAACCGATAGCTCAAATTTTATGTGCTTTGGAAAGATTATCAGCAACAAAAACATTTTTCTATATTAACGAACGAGCAAGATCAAAAGGAAACTATGAGAAATTACTTAAGTTTTGGGAACAGGTTTATATGGATAAGAAAATTGTCAAAATTGAAAATACGCAAAATCCAAAACATGATGGATATAATATGCCGGCAGGAAGTTTACTTGATCTTGAATTCCCATTTTCATTATATTTTATGAACCAAATTAATAGTTTTAAAAGAATTTACGAAGAAGAAATAGCTAAATTACAAGAAGATAATGAGAGAATTGATGAAGAAACCAATGAACTATACGAATACGTGATTGAGGATCATTTGAAAGAATTCAAAGATAATATTCTTACGTCAATACCGCTATTAAAAGAAAAAGATTCTCCATTCGAATGGGAATGGGCTTCCGAACTATATTTCAATGATTTTGTTACTATTATTGCGTCAAAAGATGGTGAAACAAAGAATAAAAAAATGTTAGCGTCAATCTTGAAGTTACTCATCGGTGATAAAGTACGCAAACCAATTTTCCTTCATGCATATTGGTGGAAAAATGGCAACGAAGTTTTGGCTCAATTACAATTGGCTCAAATGTCTCCGATGATAATTAAAAATATCGAAATTCAAGGAAATGTTGCTGTTGGAGGAAATCTTGAAAAACATCTTGTCAAAGAATTGATAAAATTGATGTTGCAGCGAATTTGTGGAAATTTCGAAGGCGCAGGAAATTCTCATTCGATTGATAAATGGCAACATGACGTCACAAAAATATTATCTCTTGTTAGTAAGGTAACGCGAGCAAAGAATTTACCAGATCTTCAATTGTTACGTATTGTAAACGATTTAGTTGCGACAAAGTCCATTCCTTTAGATAGTATTAGAGAAATTGTTCAACTTGGGTTAAGTTCGGATGAACAAGGAGTTCTCTCGGAGAAATTTGTCAGCACCGTACTTGATAAGCTAGATAAATTAGAACAAAATGAGAAGAATATAATTCCAAGAAGATCATTCATCATGAGATGCCTTGCATTGATTCCAATAGAATCAGAAGTTCGATTAAGTTTCTATGAGAAATTATTCTCGAAAGAACCTTTCCCATTAATGGGTGCAATCATCGAAAGAATCTTTCTTAAAGAAGACAAAAAATATGAAGATATATTCTTTTTAGTAATTACAGATTTCGAAGAAGCTTTAATACAATCTCCTCGATTAAATATTATCAATAAATGTTTAGGAGATTTAGATACAAATATGGCTACTTTATGTTGTGATACCATTGAACAGGCCTTTTTCGTGAATGAAGAATTAGAAAATTTAGGGGCTTATATTGGACCGGCTCTTGAATCTTTATATAAACAAGGTATACCATCATTACAAAAAATAACTTCTATTGCTTTACTCAAAGGATTCGTTAGTCGATTCTGGGACAGTTTTCTTAAGAAAGATAATAATGATCCTGACCAAATGGAGGATGATAACGATTTTGATGATAACGATTTTGATAATAACGAATTACTCGATCAAATTAACAATATTTTGACACTCGGTTTTCCTTTGATTCATTCTCTCAAAATTTACTTTTTAAGAGATTTATGTCGAAGAGATTTTTCAATGGATGATATTAGAAGATTCTGTGATGCTCAAAGACAACTTTTACCGTGGCTTGGATCTTTCAATTGGGAAGATATTAAAGAAAATCGATTGTCATTTAATCCATATTGTTATTTACCTGAATATAATGAAGTTGAAAATAGTATTATGAGTTTCTATAGTGTAGGAAATAAGGCACCTTTTCAAAAATTTATCCAAAACATGAATCAAAATATGACTTTAACAGCAAAATTATCTTTAACGGGGCTTTTCTTTGTACGTCTTCATGCTTTGAGAGCTTCAAGAGAATGGCAACATTCAGAAGAGCAAACATCCAAATTCTTGACACGAGAACTTGCTGGAATAAATCTTCCAGATTTACTTAAAACAATTGCAACAAATATCTTATCGAATAAACAACCTCTTCTTAAAATTAATAGCCCGGAAATTAATAATACTGAATTGCTTATAAAATCCGTTATTGCTCATATCATCATATTTCACGCATCGGTTGAACCGAATTCATCTCAATTAGCAATGTATTTACACAAATTACTAGATTGTCAGAACTCGTTTATTTTATCATGTATGTCTGACGTAGAATCAATGGTGTTAAACGCCGTTGCTGCTACTGAAAAAACAAATACAAACAAACTTACAAGATATGTTTGTAAGTGCGGATATAAATATTTCATCGCAAATTGTGGTGGAGCTGTTATTACTAGTAAATGTCCGGAGTGTGGAAATACAATCGGTGGAGCGGGCCATAAACCAGCAGAAGGAAACACTATACTCGATAATAAACCAGTTGCTCAATTATCGGTAAACGATCAAACAGGATACATTGGAGAACTAGCTAATCAAAATTTGTATCACTCCGTCAGATATATGACGCCTACATCATATCGTATTTTACATTTAATTGTTCATGCTCTTATTGGAGCCTCTGCACCTCAAACTGCCCTTGCCTTCCTTCAAAAAAATGATCAAACTGCCACAGATTCTGAAAATTATTGTATGGATCATATTCGAAATGATTGGGAAATGCTGAAAAACCTTCTTAATTGCTCAGATGCGGTATATTTTTTATATTTATATTATTAAATATATATTTTTTTTATCTTATTAAAATAAATTATAAACTAATAACCAATTTTTAATTCTAATCAGAATTTAGCGTTAATGTTCCATTCATTAATTTCTTCGATGATGGAAAAACCATTATCAAATCAACGAGTAACAACATCTGCTGAGCGTGAAAAGTGGGAAACAGAATTCAATAATTATATCACACCGCAAATTAAAAATATAAATGAAACGGCAACTAATTATCGTATGAAATTAAGCGAAGCTCTAAACAAAAATCAAAAAGGTAACTTAATTGAAAGTGAAATCAATCAAACTTTAGTTATGGATCAGCGATATCGAAGTGAAAATTTACCAAACTTGTGGAGAACGATTGGAATGATTGGTTTCGACAGTTTCCGCGCTTATTACATGAGCGATACGACAAGAAATAACGATTATCCATTCCTCTCAGTATTTTTGAAATATACACAAGAATTAGAATTACTCAAACATCTTTTACCTATAGTAAAGTTTGTTCAAATTTTGCATTCCAAACTTGGATATCAGTTAGCAAGACAAACTGCAAGAGAAATGACTTTCATGCAATTTATTTATAAAGAATCTAATGGTGGTGATAATGAAGAAATTTTCAATAGCTTGAAAACAGCTTTTGACGACTTTAAACTTGGTTGGAATACAGTTATATCTCTCGTAGATCGGTATCAATGTCATGAACTTCCCGATGATAAGCCAGCCATGAAAGATGACTCACCAGTTGTTCTTGGTTTAGTGGAACAAAAAGATTCAGGAATTTACTTATGCGCAATTTTATACCATTTAGTTAATATACAAAATAAATTCTTACAAGAAGTCATTGAAATTCCACCTGGAACTTGTAAATCTCTCAAATTTTTAGATGAACCGACATTTGATTTTGGATCGTCAACATCAAAAACAAAACCAGAAACACCTAATGGATATTGCCTTCAATCGATGTATCTTGATCAAGTTCGTTCCGTCAATATCATAAATTTTGAGTGGGATGATGAAATTCTTGCATATAGTCAAAGAAATTTAGCAATTGCTAGAGGAGAAGATATTGTTTATGATTTGACAAAAATTGAAGCGGAATTGGCAAGTATTTTAGTATTTGAAAAAGTTTATATAGAAACTCAACCAGATTCACAATTATATCTAGAAGTTTTCCCATATCATTTGGAGTTATTCCAAGGATATATGAGAATTTTAAGTGATATTAAGAATTTAATAACCCAGGAGCCAATTCCAATTGAAAAGGTGAATTTATTAGGATTTTCTAAAAATTCTGGTTTACAACATGCATTGGAACCAGCTCTAGATAACGCGTCAGAAATTTTATCATCATTGGAGATTCTTTTATGTTTCGTCAAACGCACTGCAGTTGGAGATAGAGAAAAATCAATTAAAAATTATGTTTCACAGTGGATGAAATTATCATCATTAAATGAACATGAAAGATTCTCTAAAATGTTAGAAGTGGATTTACGACTTAAACATTTAGTGTCTTTATACGAACTCGTCGAAGAACAAGTTGCCGATGTTAAAATTAAATATATTCATGAAAAATATAAGGAAGAACTTTCAGCAGATATGAGGGCGGCAATAATGAATTCTGTAGATTTTGAACAGCAAACTACAATGAAAAAAGCCATACCAGCAGAAGCGTTCGCTTTAGCTTTAAAACGATTCATGTTACGATTTTTAACTTTAGAAAATCAAAAAGAAAAGGAACCGTTATATCATTATTTACGAGATGATAATACATTAAATTTTTGGCCTTCTACAGTTCCAGAAGAACTTATTGACGAATTATTTCCGGAAAATTTATTAGTGGCTAATACATATGAAGCTTATACATTTACAATGAACATTATTGAGGTAAGAAAACTTAATAATTATATATCTTTTTTTAGTTTTAATTAATAAATATACTTCAAATTTTAGAAAACGAGGGAAAAACAGGCTAAACAGGCCAAGCAGGCAAGGCAGGCTAAACCGGCTAAACCGGCTAATACTAGCAATTCAAATATCGGATCTAAACCTGGCAGAAGAAAGCCTGAGCGACGTGATAAATTTGACCGCATGTAGAAATTCTTATTTATTTATTTTTTTTTTTTTTAAAAAAAAAAAAAATTTATATATAGTAGTAGCTATTATTATTTTTATTACCGAATTTTAGACCATACCACAAAAATTAGCTTTTTTACAATTATATTTGTTAAGAAATAAATATTAAAATCTTGCCTTTTAAATATGTTATCAATTCGAGAAACCATGAATTCTTTGTTATAAATAGTCGAGTATACGAAAAAGACAATCTCTATATTTGTTTTCTTAATATTCTAGGTCGGATGGCTCGGATCATGTACCAAGAGAAGCTATTGCAAAAGTTGGTTAGATTTATCAGTACTGTACAACGTTTTTAACTTTATTAAGTTCCATAATTATGAAATCGAAAATAAAAATTTTAATATAAATATGAATCACACACATTCCTCAAAACTTGAAAATCTAGCAAATTCATGTAAGTGACATTATGGTTAGGAGTATTTAATAATCCCATATTCCCATTTATTAAGCTTAAGATATTTAAGATTTGGAATTTCACATTATTTGTAGAATTCTAATATACTTATTTTCGGTACGCCGGTACGGCGGTACGGTAATACAAATTAGTAAAAAAAAAAAATTACAATTTTCCGTACTCAGCAGACCTTAAAAATAAATTTTGATTTTCCGTACTAATAATTTTACATTGATCGAATTTGCGAGAATGAATAATATGCTATGAGTATTTTCTCTTTTCTTTCTTGGAGTTGCGCTAGATTGGGGGATAATATATTTTCTTCATTCTTCATTAATTTTGTTATCCCTTGCAAGTTATGATATTTTTAAAATTACTCTAGGAAGAAATAACTTCTGCACAAATGAACAATTGATTACTTCTTTTCTAGCGCGTAGTATGATGGTTGTTGTGGTGGTAAGTTGAAATAAAGAACTAGTAACAGAGAAAATTAAGGGTTGATCTGGCTTTCCTAGAGGGTTAGCTTATGTGCATTGCTTCTATCATAGAATCAAATTAGCGTGTTTCTTAAACAATAATACCATTTAATGTATCCCCATGTATAACTTCATATTTAATACGTTCAAAATACATATACTAAATAATTAATTATCATTTAAAACAATGCTTAAAAATATTTTTTGCATAAGATTATTCGTAAATTTGCATATTTCAGATGTAGTTATTTTTTTGAAAATAAGCAAATAATAAATAGTAATTTATGATAAAAATCCTATATAAATTTTTACATTTTTTTATTATATTTATGAAAGTGAACAGTAAATAAAAAAGAGCATTTTAAACTATGATCAAAAAACAACCATAACATTTCTATTTCTCAATCACAGTTTTAGTGATAAAACTATTATTATAAACTGATTCCCAAAAAATTATTATTATTATTGAATATAAATTTTTTTAAAAAAAATATGGAATGATATTTATTTACAAGGATTAGTTTTACAATTTGATGAATTGAAATTAATACATCAAGATGAATCTAAATCGATTTACACATTGTATAAACAGTGTATAAACTAATTTTAATGTTTAAAATCGTTTAATTATTTAATTTACCAGAAGTGAAAATCTCCTTACATGTTATTAAAAACCTGGACATAAATAAACACTTAGTAAAGCTGACAATTATAATATTGAATTAGGCATATTTTCACTATTAAATTTATTTATAATTTAATACGTTTCTTCTATATATTTGTGTCAAATCTCTTATGCAATCTTCTTTAAAAGTCAAATATTTAATCAATTTTCTTTTAATAACGATAATGTATATATTGATTTACTCGTGAATTTGATCGAGCCAATCATTGATCGGTTCGTGAATCGTGATATACAGGTAAATAAATTTTGCGGTCGAAAAAAAAAAGAGTAAATGTGCTTTTTTTTGTTAAAAAATATTATCATAATTGTAATAAATATATTAAATGAAAATAGTATTTACAATAAATACTGTAAATATATGTTCATTTCTTTCATTTTGATTAATCACATGATCGATTACATGTGATCAATTAAACGTGATCGAGTTTTTGATTGTGATCGTTCGGAATTTTGATCGGGTTTTGAATTGATAATTATTGGCTGATGAAATTGTGTGACCTGATCAACTTTTCGAATTTTCCGAACTTTCCAACAGCTAATACGCGCCCTAAAAAAGTTTAATATACCTTGATGGTATTGCTTATTTGCCATTTTTAAAAAAGAAAAATATTTTATTACATGAAAATAAGGTGACCAAGGTTAACCTTTAAATACCTCAATTTTGATTTTCATCACATGATAGGATTGGCTAATGGATTTTCGATCAAAAAAACCCGAACGATCAGAATTGAACAGGCCTAATATTATCTAAAAATGTTTAAATTAGTTTTTATAAATACTAGATAATTTCAAATATTCTAAAGAATTTGTAATTTTTGCGCAGGTATAAAATTGAATTTAGTGGGGTCCAACGACTCAACGACTCCAATGTTTTAAATATAATCTGGTGTATAATTTTCACTTAATAAAACTTCACTAAATGAAAATGTTAAGTTGAAATTAAATTACAATATGAATTTAATGATGAAAATAATTTAAATCTGCAATTTCTTGAAGTTTTAAATTTTATTTATTGCAAATAAAATTTGAATTTTGTAAGATTAATTCAAAAGTATCATTCAAATATTCATAAAATCAAAAGAAGGATATGTTAACCCAGCAAAACAATATATTATATATATATATATATGGGTTTAAAATTTGTGCGCACCCGCGCATGTGCGCACCCCCACGTGATTTATTAATTTTATAAAATTTAATTGGCTAGCTAAGCATACAATCAATAATTTAATTTTATTTGTTGATTTTTTTACACACGATCATATTACATCTCTTTTTTTTCGTATTATACCCTTCTTTTTTTAAAGCTTCGCTTAACAATTAACGTTAAAAATTTAACCCTTCCCCCTATCGTTTTTCGGTATTTTTCTAGCTTTAACTTTGAAAATGGTAAGTTTAAGTGTTAATATGTAGCTTTTTTGACGTATTTTATTTCTTTAATTAACTGATATTGTTCTTTTTTTTTATAGGTGTTTTAAATCTCGGCTGGTTAGTAGTATTCTTTTACATTTACTTAAACCTGGTTGCTTTTTCTTTTTGGGCGCGACTTTCTACTCAAGAGTATTCAATATGAAAAGGGGAGATCGGTTCCTTTGTTGTAGGCTTAGGTACAGGTTTCTACACGTTACTTATAGGTATTATTATGTTCTTCTTTCTTGTTTTCGTTCGTTCTTTCATTCTTTATTGCTAATTTTGATTTCTTTTCGGGTATGATTTTCTACTTCTTCTGTAGGACTAGGTACGGCTTTGTTTTTATGCTTTTCTTTTTTATTTTCATTCTTTTATGTTCTTTCTTTTATTTTTTGCGCTAATTTCTGTTTTCTTTTAGGTGCAACCTTCCACTTCGCCTGTAGAACTAAGTGCAGCTTTCTACTTTATTTGATGTAAGTTTTTCTTCTTTATTTTTATTTTCTATTCGTTTTTTCATTCATTCTTCGTTGCTGATTTTGAATTTCTCTCTCTTGTAACTTAGGTACAGCTTTCCACTCTCTTATAGGTACAGTATTTTATACTTTTCTTTTTTTGTTTTAGTTCTTTTATTCATTTTTTGTTACTAACTTCGGTTTTCTTTTTTAGATATAGTTTCTAAACTACTGAACACTTACTTCGCGGGTAAAGATATAGGGGAAAATGGACGTGAATTTGTATTTAGGCATATTTATTTATTGAATACTTCTTTCTCCAGAAAGGGATATATTTGAAGAATGTTTTTATTTAGAACAATAAAATGAGATCCATAATAAAAGCGCCAGAAAATGTTATTAAACTCGTCACCATTTTCTTTTTTCTTTTAATCTATTAGCAACTTTTATTTTTCTGTTGATAGGTCAAGGTTTTAAATTAGTTTCGTAAATGTAGAAAATAATTACTGTAATTTTTTACATTGTAAAGAATGAGTTTTTCTTTAATAAATTCAATAAAAAATGATAAAGTAGATGATTAATCAGTTTTGTAAATCGTGTTATGTCATTATGTGTGTTGTTGATCATTGATTTTTTAAGGAAAAAAAAAATTTTACATCGAACCAACAATTTTGTTTTATTTGTTTTTACATCGTGCGCGTTATCCATACTTTAATTTGTATACGGAAATGGCAAGTTCTACAAGTTCTAATGAACAACAACAACTTTATATTGGCCAATATTTTGTTACATGGGATACTGCTATTGAATATGTTCAAAAATGGTGTAATATTCAAGGCTTCCAAACACGTTTCAACCGTTCTGAACGTAATGCAGAAGGTGAATATCGAAAATTGACAATTATTTGTCAACATGCTGGCAAATCTAGGAAACCATTAACTGAGCTGCAAACAAATAAAGAAAAATCCAAAAAAAAAATCAATAAATCAATTCAGATGGGTTGTAAAGCACATATTAATTTATCAAGACCGGAGAGGGACAATATCAATCAATATGTATATGTTACTACTATTTCCAATGATCATTGTCATGAACTTAACTGTCAGCTTGTAAATTATGAGAATGAAGTAATGATGTCAGAAGAAATGCTAAAGGATATTGAATTTTTAACAAAACATGTTCATCTTTCCACAACACAACAAAGAATTTATCTTGAAGAAAAATATCCTGAACAAAAAATTCGATCTGATATTCTTCGCAGTGAGATACAAAAATATCGACCATCAGCTAAAGATTTAAGTAATGATGCATCAAAACTTTATGAATATCTTATTAAATTAAAGGATAATGATACTAGATGGCAAATTTTTGTTGATTTTGATGAAACAAAAGTGTTGAGAAGATTATTTTGGATGAGTCCTAATCAAATAGAGCTTTGGATACAATATCATGATGTTATAATTAATGATATAACTTACAGAACAAATAGATACAATATGGCATTATCACTATTTGTTGCTATTGATAATTGTAATTGTTCACGATTAGTATGTCAGGCACTTGTTGATGACGAAACGGCTGATGCACATATATGGATTCTTGAATGTACTTTACTTGCCACAGGTGGTAAAAGACAAAATGAAAATATAAATGGAGGATTAATTCCATTGGTTTTTATGACTGATTCAGATCCTGCTGTGGACGCTGCATGTATTAGAGTTTATAAAGGCTGTTATGCAATGCACTGCATATACCATATTAATCAAAATCTGCATAAAAATCTTTTTGGACCTTTGGGCGAAAATTATTCCCAATTTTTAAATGAATTTTATAATGCTAGAAATAGTTTAAGTCAAGAAAGATTTGAGCGCTTATTTCATGAATTAGTTGAGAAATATAAGCAGATTTCTAATTATTTGAATAATTTGTATAAATCCAAAACATATTGGGCTTTTTGTTATACCTCAACAATTTTTACTGCAGCAACACAAACAACTTCACGAGTAGAAGGTTTAAATGCAGTTCTGAAAAAAGAACTCATTAATTCTAATACTTCGTTAGTTCAACTTAATAAGACAATAACTCGCCGTCATCAAGAAGAAGAACGTCAAAAAGAATATGCATTTTGGAAATCAGTTATTCCTTGTGTAATTGTTTCACAAACTGCAAATTTTCTTTTTCCTGCAGTTGAAACAATTATAAAAAATTATCTAACAGACCCATTATATAACCTTCAAGTTCAAGAAATAAATCAAAGTGTGTATTATAGATGTGAACAATTTGACTTAAACCAGTTTAATATATTTGAACAGGTATGAAAAAATTCTTAGCTTCTTTATTTCATTATATATTAAAAGTATAGCTAAGATTTTTATATCTTAAAAATAATTAAATTTAAGGAAATGAATACTACAGGATTTTTAGAAGATTTACCTGATGAACGTAAAGCATGTATTAAGTCAATTTTTAATCATGTTAACCAAGAAGAAATTAAAGAAGTTTGGGGAGTCTCAGTCCAAAATACTCAAAAATTCAAGCATTTTATCCTTTTAATGAACAATTCGGCACATTTGTGTTCATGTTTAGCAACAATTACAAGAGGCATTGTTTGCCGTCATTATTTTAGTCTTATGATGCATACACATGCAGCAACATTTCATATTCGACTTATTAGGAAACGGTGGTATAAGAATCCTGAATTAAATGGAAAAAATGAACCTTTTGTGTATGCTGCTAAATTTCAGAATACAGAATTACCAAAACAGTCTAAAAATCAAGAAGTTCCATATTTAACAGCTATGATTCAAAATAATGTTGATAAATGGGATCAAAAAAGCAAAACAAATTTAGATGAAAGAATTTTTTATGGAAAAGTAATGGGAATGGCAAAAAAAGTTACTCTTAAAGCGGTTGAAAACCATGATACACGAATTTTTGAGATTTTTAAAGAATATCTTGATGAAAACGGAAATTTGGAGAATAATGATAGTAGAAATAATGAACCAGATCTTAATTTGGATGTTGAGTCTAGTGAAAATGACGAAGAAAATGACGAAGAAAATGATGAAGAAAATGATTGCAGTTTTTTACATCTTCAAAATCCCATGAAAAGACCTAAAAAAGGAAGACCAAAAGGAACGAAAAGGATTAAAAGTGTTACTGAAATTTCTAGCAAAAATAAACGCCACTGCAAAATTTGTGGCGAAGTTGGGCATTACTCAAATACATGCATACGCAATCCAAATCGTAAAGGCAAATAATTTAAACGTATTATTTTTTATAGATAACAGTTAGCGCAACGTATGCATTAACCTAATATTGTATTTTTTAATCATATAATAAAGATATTTTGGCTCAACTTTATTTAAATGATACCTTTTCTTTGTATTTTATTTTATTAAATCATTTAAAGTGAATTTATTAAGACAAATTCGTTCTTTACAATATAGAATATTACAGTAATTGATATTTCTACATTACGGAACTAATTTAAAAACCATCTAAAAATTTAGACCTAACAACCAAAAATAAAAGTTGCTAAAAAGATTAAAGATTAAAAGAAAAAAGAAAATGGCGACGAGTTTAATATTTTCTGGCGCTTTTATTATGGATCTCCTAAATAAAAACATTCTTCAAATATATCCCTTTCTGGAGAAAGAAGTATTCAATAAATAAATATGCCTAAATACAAATTCACGTCCATTTTCCCCTATATCTTTACCCGCGAAGTAAGTGTTCAGTAGTTTAGAAACTATATCTAAAAAAGAAAACCGAAGTTAGTAACAAAAAATGAATAAAAGAACTAAAACAAAAAAAGAAAAGTATAAAATACTGTACCTATAAGAGAGTGGAAAGCTGTACCTAAGTTACAAGAGAGAGAAATTCAAAATCAGCAACGAAGAATGAATGAAAAAACGAATAGAAAATAAAAATAAAGAAGAAAAACTTACATCAAATAAAGTAGAAAGCTGCACTTAGTTCTACAGGCGAAGTGGAAGGTTGCACCTAAAAGAAAACAGAAATTAGCGCAAAAAATAAAAGAAAGAACATAAAAGAATGAAAATAAAAAAGAAAAGCATAAAAACAAAGCCGTACCTAGTCCTACAGAAGAAGTAGAAAATCATACCCGAAAAGAAATCAAAATTAGCAATAAAGAATGAAAGAACGAACGAAAACAAGAAAGAAGAACATAATAATACCTATAAGTAACGTGTAGAAACCTGTACCTAAGCCTACAACAAAGGAACCGATCTCCCCTTTTCATATTGAATACTCTTGAGTAGAAAGTCGCGCCCAAAAAGAAAAAGCAACCAGGTTTAAGTAAATGTAAAAGAATACTACTAACCAGCCGAGATTTAAAACACCTATAAAAAAAAAGAACAATATCAGTTAATTAAAGAAATAAAATACGTCAAAAAAGCTACATATTAACACTTAAACTTACCATTTTCAAAGTTAAAGCTAGAAAAATACCGAAAAACGATAGGGGGAAGGGTTAAATTTTTAACGTTAATTGTTAAGCGAAGCTTTAAAAAAAGAAGGGTATAATACGAAAAAAAAGAGATGTAATATGATCGTGTGTAAAAAAATCAACAAATAAAATTAAATTATTGATTGTATGCTTAGCTAGCCAATTAAATTTTATAAAATTAATAAATCACGTGGGGGTGCGCACATGCGCGGGTGCGCACAAATTTTAAACCCTATATATATATATGTAATATATATTTTTTAAAAATTTTGACCAAGAAAAATAAAAGTGATAGGTTAAAATGGTGTAATAAAAAAAAAACTAGGAAGAGAAATGGAAACGAGTGGTAGTCAGATGAGTCAAGTTTGCTCTTTCGAGTCAGATGGTAGTGTAAGAGTGTGAAGAAAGTAAAGTTTGGTGGTTGATCAGTGATGTTTTAGGTTCTTTTGATCGGTATGACGATAATGAGTATGATATGACCCTCATTGTATGTATGATATAGATTTAATTTATCTATACTGTATAGTTATTGATTCTAATATACGGTATAGTTTTAAGGTTAGGGTTAGGCAAAAATTAGGATTAGGGCTAGATTAGAATTAGTGTTAGGATTAGTGTTGGGATTAAGTGTTATATAGGAGTTAGATTAGGGTTAGGATTAGGGTAAGGATTAGGGCTAGGAATCAGAGTTAGACTTTAAATATTAAGATTTAAAGTAACTATACAGTATAGATAAAAATTATACTGTATAAAATAAAAAACTATACCATACATGCAATGAGGGTCATATCATACTCATTATCTATATACTCTGTTTTGATTGGCATGGAATTGAGCCTTTAGCTGTGGTTGTTCTAATTATCCCAATTCTATTTTCAGCGTTTCAAATATAGCAGTGACAAAAAACGAACGAACTTATTTTTTCAGGATGTTTGACGAAAACGATCAAGGAAAGATATAATTGGCAAGCATATAGAAAATTAGATGAGAAGAAACAAGACTTGTCAGATTTCAAATTAGTCAAAGATTATATAATAAAAATATGGCGGAAATTTTGCCAAGATTATCAAAATTAACAAAATAAAATTTATTTTGATATATTTTAATAATGAGAAAGATTTATGAATTTATCACGGGCCATATATAGTCGACGATGGATGAAGATATGGGAAAGGTTTACAAATGAAAGGACAAGAGGAGCTTATTGGAATGAATGGTGTTTTCAAAAAGCGGCGGATTGGGAATGCAAATAAAAATAACATAACTTCTTCATCGGAAGATGAACAATTCGAAGATGCTCTATCAAGTCCCCAAAGCCTTTGTCAACGATACCTAGGAGTAAAGAAGAACACGAAGATTTTACCAATTTGAATAACGAATTTAGAGAACATTTTGACAAAATAAGTAAAGAGAATGAGGTAGTAACAGAAACAAAAAAAATTAAAGAAATCAGAAATGCGGATAAAGACAATATAAATGAAAACAAGAAACGCGTAGTGGCAACGCAAGGTGACAGAGTAGACTCTGACAACGAATAAACAAAATTATTTCTTTTATAATAAGATCGAGGTCTTCTGATGTGTGCTTGGAATTGGTTGAAAATTAAGTGGACGATTGGATACTTTCCTGAATTTCGCGCGACTATTGGATACATTTCTAACAAGAGCGTAGATTGATGGACTTTATTTCTTACTGTTTTAATTTTTCTTTTTTTGTTTTTATTTTGTCTTTTAGTTTAACAAATTTATACAAGTTTATTTTTTTTAGGTAATTTTTTAGGAATTTAATAGTTAATATTCTTGTAGTATTTAGTTTTTAGTGAAATTTTTAGAAAAAATAGAAAAAAATAGGAAAATATCAAAAAATCAAAAAAAATCTTACTGATAAAATTTTTTTGTTTAGTAGTTTAGTAACACAAATAGATCATAAACTTAGCAATCAGAGTTTAGATTTATTAGTTATTTAGAAATTAGAATATATCGGTTAGTTATAGAGTCATTAACGATCTTTTGTTATTGGTTCTAGGTAAAAATGTGCTACTAAAAAAAAAAAGATTGAGATCTTGTAGAACTATTAAAGGGTAAATCTTACCACATCACCTCGCGTAGTACAGGTGATGATTTTGTCACATGGTCACGTGATGGCGGCGGCCTCGTTGTTTATATTTATCTCAGCGACTTAGAAATTTTTTTGCGGTCTGATCTCTATTTGTCACTTGCATAAAATGTCACGCCCTTTATGCAGTGTAACCAACACTATTAATACGTAACACGCGAGGTGTGGTAAGATTATCCCTATTAAAGTAAAAGGAAGCCTTTACCTAAATCTAAATAGGACTTGAAACGGTACATCAAGGTTACCGACAAAGTGAAAAATTTTTTTGCCAATTAATAAGTACGAAAAAATTTTTCTTACATGTATAAATTTAAATTTTTATACAAAAAAAAAAATCCGGGAATTATGCAAATTTCTCCATGCAGATCATCTGTTAAAATTTTTTTTTTATTCTTTTGCATTTTTTTTTTACAACACAATACAATTTGATAATAACTAGCCGATAATGCCCGGGAGGTTTAGCGGGTATAATATTTTTATAAATATGTAGTAGTAGTGTTACACAATTGAAAATAGTGCTTTAATTGATTTATATTTATTTCTCTATCAACCGCAGTATAAAAAGGTCACATGTTCCATCTGTAACTCGTTTATTAAGATCATCATTCTGCGTTATGTAATCCACATTCGGAAACAATCAAATTTATTTTTTTTTTTAAAAAAAAAAAACCTTAAAATGTTTCTTTCTACGATTTGCAATCATCATACAAAAATAACAAAATATTTACCTGCTTAAGATATTTTGAATGGTTGATCTACTTATCGTTCTTTCCGGAGTTTTCATACAAAATATTTACCAGCTTAAGATATTTTGAAAGGTTGATCTACAAAAAAAGATTCATCTTATCGTCATCTTCCGGAGTTTTCATACAAAATGTTTTACCTGCTTAATTTTGAATGGTTGATCTACAAAAAAAACACCATCTTATCGTTTTATCGTTCTTTTCCGGAGTTCATAACAAGATGAATCCGAATTTATTGAATCACGAATCACTATATATTTGCTTGAAGAATTTATTGATTTTTTTTAAAAAACATTATTGTAATTTTAATGTTAATAGTTATTCACATAACTTATTACAATATTTTGATTATCTGTCTCTAAAAAAAATCTTTTGATGAAAAACAAATTTTCTTAAATCTTGCATCTGATTGAAATTTATAAGAATTCATTATTATAAACAGCAGCAACTATGGGTGCTATTCTTTCAAAAGCATTAAAATTAATATTCTCTGTTGGCTGTGTTGGTACGTAATGTTAAACAAGTTTGGGTCCAAAATTTTATTATACTCTACTAATTTCTATTTAATTTTACTATATGTATATAGTCGCTGGACTGGCTATGTATTGTTTTGATAAACCTATGCCTATTTCTTTTCCTGGTGTGTCCGGTGGTTCCCTAAGTACTATCTTTATTTCAGCTGGGATTTCTGGAGTTTTAGCTTGTCTCTTTAATAATAAGTGTACATGGTTTGAATTGTTTAAAGAAATGTGTAAGGGTGCGCTTACTGGCATAATTTCAACTTTTTCAAGTGAAATTGCTGGAAATATAGCACATAGATTAGCGTTTTCAGATTGTGCGGTAAAATTTATGAAAACTTTCGCCAGTTCTTGTTCATCAATTATATTTAGGCACTATTCTGATGGAAACAAAAAACCGTTAACTATTAAAGAGTTTATTCCTACATTCTTTTACAGTATATTGTCCTATGGAATAAACTTTGGACATGAAGCAATATATAAAAAGACTGTCGAATCCGCCACGGACTTGTACCAAAAAACCAAATTACAACTGGGTGAATCCGGTTCCATTATCGACTTGTCTTATCATCTTAAAGATTGGCGCTCAAAGCAAACCTTCTTATCTCTCTCACTTCAACTTTGTGATAATCTTATAACTAAACTGAGCGTTAATTCAATAAAACAAGTGATTAGAAATAAAAAAGTGAAGATAAATCAAACTCCTCAAGGTTATTCCATTATGTTTATGGAATCTTTAAAATCTACACTGGTTTCATTTGTTCAAACCGGTATCACTTATCATGAAGAAGTTGAAAATAAAGATAAACTTATTTACAACCTTGCAGAGATTGAGAAAAAAGGGTTAAACATCCAATGTGTTGATGATCAAAATTCTATTAGCTCGTTCAATGATCCAAAGAAAGTGGAGGAGCTCTTTACTAAACCAGTTGAATTTGAACCGAGTGAAATCGATCCCGATTCTGACTCTGATGATAATAATTATACCAAAGCTAATAATATGAATGATAATAAAGCTAGCTTTACAACATCAAAAACTCCAAATACTCGTGATAAGATCATCAATGGGTCACGTTCTTGGAACGAAGGTGCAAAAATTTATTCCACGAGAGATGCAATTGAAACTTTCCGATTTCAATATGAAAGACATAATAATAACGTTGCTTATGAGTCTGGTGATGATGTTGATCAAACTCCAACTAGTTATGAATATGTGTACGTTAATGTTCGTTCAAATAGCAGTTTACCCGTATCCACATCATCTTCGACCAATAAGGATAGTGGTAAAAAAGGGAAATTCAAAGCTACAAATGAAAGTTCCGATTTGTTTCTATCTAATCAAGATAATCAATATTTTACTAAGAAGCAAAATCTACCTGAGGTAGTAAATGAAGCGAGCACACATTTAGGAGTTAAACTTCATCCGATAATCTGTTGGGATGCAGATAAACAAAAGTATATCTTTTCAGACCCGAACGAATGGCCGGCTTTCCCTCATAAAGCCAAAGTCATCGGATTCGTTGGGACAAAAAAGTCTGGACGTACTACAGCAATTCATAGTCTCTTATTCGAATTGGGTTACTTTTTAACTGAAGATCAGCTAGCGAAGTCATTATTACCAATTGGTGTAATGATGTACGTTCTGAAAAAACATGACTTAATATTTCTGGACTGTTGTGATATTGCAGATTCTTCCATAGATAAAGCCGGAAATCTTGTAAAGTTTCAATCTTTTTATCTTTCTTGCAATAATTATTTGTTCAATGAGTTAATTCTCCTTAATAATACGTTTTTCTCAACAGCTTTCAGGATATCTACTTGAATTCTTTACCTATATGGCTTCCTGTCACTTAGTCATTCACACGGCAATTCCTGCAAAGAAAGAAGGTGACCGATCTATGTTTTCAGAAACACTTACTGATTATATTCATGCAAAGGCAAAACTTCAACTATTGTGGTCCAATACAATTCAAACATTTGGACCATCAATGCTCACTGTCCTAGTTCGCGGTACAAAACAACAGTGTGAGGAAATGGACTTAGATAAAATCAATTTATTTTCTTCTCAATCAAACAATGATGAATATGACAAAATCGTATTTACGCATGGATTTCAAGATTCTAAAGCATTTACCTGGCAGTACATCCCCGAAGAAATGATAACTGTGCGAACTCTTGCAAATGACAAATTTGCAGTTCCTTCGGCAATTCTAAGGCGTGTGAAAGATGAAACTGAGCCTCATGGACTTTCTATAAGTGTGCAAGCTATTATGGAGGGAATTACTGTTGGTGAATGTGTAGCTAATAATGAAAATCTGAAACCTTTTTATAATAGAGTTGAAGCAAATTGGAAATATCTCTTTAATATAATTATGTCTAATAGTATACTTGCTCAAAGTGTTGCTGATTTTATTAATTATGAAACGATTAAAGAAGCCGATGACAAAACAGGTGGTTTAATTCAAGAATACATCGAATCAGTAAATAATCTTGTCAAATACGTAAGAACAAATATAATTATTATGTTACTTTCTTAACTCGTACATACTGTTAACTTACAATATCAATTAATCAACTTCAATTCAATTAGTCAGCATCTCAAGGGTCAGCGTTAGAAACCAATTTCAGAGCAATGTGCGAAGACTTTAAGAATCGAATGGATATTGAAATGAATAAACCCAATGACGAACAAGATCCTACCATTGGCTTCAAATTAAATATTGAAATTGCAAAGTGTCTTCTTGAAAGGTAAGCCAACTTTTTCTTTTGTAATCAAATTTTATGAACAAAAGTTTATAATATTTAATATACGTATGTTTGAATATTTTTAAATTCTTAGTTCGAAAACAGAGACTAATTTACAAATAAAAGAAAATTTGATATCGTGGGGTCTTCATGGCCTAACGCTGATCCATAATCGTTCAACACCTAAAGTTCTTGAGCATACATGGATGAAGCTTTGTATCAAGACGTATAACATACTTGAAATCTTGAACGATCCCGTTATTTACAATGTTCATTGGCACTGTTGGAACTTTTTATCATTTGCCAGCTCTTGTGGTTTTAAATTGGAACTTATTGGATGGAAAATACTGGAGCGTGCATTGCAATGTCTCAAAACATCAGCTAATAAACCTCAATTTCACTTTCATGTTCTCAAATGTTTTCTTAAATTTCTTGAGACTGAACCTTATCTTCCAGTAATAATTAGTCCTTTGAATAATGACATATCAAATCAAACTTCATCGTTACAATTAAATGAGGAACAATATTACCGACTTAAACAAATGACTTATTATGGAATAATGGAATATTCGAAAAAGTGTGTTAGAGATGCTGCAGAAAGGCGAAAGCCGACTAATATGGAAAATTTTTTGGAAGATATTATGAATATTATTAACAAACAAATCAAAATTTTGATAAGTTCAGCATTAACATCATCTCACAATGAACCTTTCTCGATCTTACCTGAACATCAGCAGTTCGCTATTGTTAGTGTTGCATTGGAACGGTTAAACACCGATATTGCTCTTTATGTCTCTAAATACATCTTTGGCGGTGAGGGATTAATCGATGTCTTTCTTCCAGATTCGCCTATTGAGGCATTGCAAGACTATCACGAAGCGGTTCGTAATTACAGATGGTTGCTTTTACAACGAATTGCTAGACTCCGAGATGATGAATGTACCCAAAACCTTATTGAAAATACTCTTTCTAGCGTCGTCGGTTTCTTAAAAAATTTGCCATATGATGAAGCATCCAAAAAATCTCATTCATATGCAGTTCTCTTCGCAAATGCCTTAATGTTTTCTGGAAATATCATGCAAAAACGTCAACAAGTCAAGAAGAAAAGTCAAGTAACATCATCGTTTTCCCGACAACCAATGACCATAAATGATATCAATAAAAAGAAGGAAAAGATTGAAAATGAAGAATATGGAGAGGTTCGCATAGAGTTACTTTTGCAAAAATGTTTTAGATCTGTATTACAAGAGTTTTTGCGTGGGTTGAAATCCAAAGATCAAAAAGAATATCTCAGCTCAGAAAAAGTTCGACATTATACACAATATGTTAATAACTTATTGTTCGCTCCTCATAATTCTCGAATTCAAGCCTTGTCTTTGGACCAAATTTCTGTTGTTGAACGAAATATGCTTCGATTAATGACCTTTCAAATAATGGATCTTTATATAAAAACTCTTTGGAAACACGAGTTAGAAAAGGAGGAACCCGCCGTGTCAAATCAAATTTCAATCGTATATAACACACGAGCATCTTTGAGGTTATTGAATCGAATTTATTGGATGATAACTAAAAAAGATAATATTCAAGGACTTTCCATTATTTTCGGTTCTTCAACAAACACAACATCTGGGCAAAGTATTATTCATTCCCTTCCTTCTTCTAATGATGTGCATTCCTCGGAAATTCTAGCCGATGAAATGATCCAACGTATTGGCCTTAACAATTGGCAAAACCTTATAACTCTAACTTCCATTCCACGCATCCTATCTGATCATGCTTCTAAAATAGATCCTGATAATTCATTAAACTTTCGCGAGGCTATATTTGACGTGCGAGATGAAGCTTTAATCCTCCTTTGGAATCTTTCCGAGTGTAGTGGCGTCTCGCTTGGAGTATCAAAAAAGGTCATGACCGTCAATGATTTTCGATCAGCAAATGTGGTTGGTGAATTCTCAGACATGTCAACTTTTGATGAGGATGGAATAAATCGGATTAGATTCCTTGTCAATCGAGTCATAAGTCAGATATATACTGATACTACCACTGTTAATGCTGAGATTACAAATCAAGAACTACATAATCGTTTTAGAATTGGCAAAATTAGAGCCATTGAATCGGCAAAACGTGTTACAATTTCTGAGAATATCGAAAAGCAAATGGAGGAGCAAAAATTAGAACCTGATTTTCAAGCAATGAAAGAGGCTAGATTAAGAAAATTTAATAACAAGTAACTTTTTAAATACGATATCCGTAGTTAGTAACAAAAATTTGCTTAAGACTATACATATACAGTATATAAGTGCGTGATAAAAAGTCATAGCAGATATTCCACAAAAAATTCATTTTATTATTATAATCCCTTTAGTAATTAGAATTTTTTATATTTATCGCAGTATGTACGACAGTAAAGTTTTATATTTCTTATTTCGTATTAATTAACCCAAATAAAGAAGAAAATATTTACACACTACATCCTGCATAACGTCAACCAGCAACCCTTAAGTTTAGGACGTCCTTAATTATTGCTTATTTTAGGAAACTTAGAAATGTTTTATAAATAAAAATGTAAAAGCTACTTGTTAGTTAACACATTATATATGAACAATGTTTTTAAGTAATTATCCATATCAAAAGCTTTATATATTAATCTTAATTTGGTGTTGATGTAAATTTTCTTAGTATAAAATATTATCGTAAGTCTTTATATTTTTAACTATATTTACCGAAACTTTTACCACAAATGTTTCTTTTTTTACGAAATTTACGTGATGTGTAATATCATGTGATATTAAGATTGATTCTTTGATTTAACTGAATATTATGACATGCGCGATTTTGTTCATAATGGCTAAAGTATATGTTTATTGAACAACTAACAAAATTATACAATTACTATAAATGAGAACTTCCTTATATAAATGACACTATATAAGATAAAATAATTTGCTCTTATAGTTAGATTTTAATTTGCTCTTTGATGCAATAGTTCAAATAAATAAAAATAAATGATTCTATAAATAATTCAAAAGCTTTCTCATAATCTTTACTAACCCCTTTCCCAGTTTTGTACATAAGCGCAAGATTAAATTTTGCCACAAAATGGCCTAAATTTACCGCTTTTTGATAAAATTCAACAGCCTTTTGTTTATTGAGACTAGTTCCAAGACCGTTCTTATAGAAATATCCTAATTTAAATGCCCCTTCTACTACTTCTCGAGAAGATTCTTCATATAACTTGAAAGCTTTCTTATAATCTCTGTCAACACCCTCTCCATTTTCATACATAAGGGCGAGATTATATTGGGATTTACTATGTCCCAAATTCGCTGCTTTTTGGTAGATTTCAGCCGCCTTTTGTTCGTCAACATTGGTTCCAATTCCATCACAATAATAGTATGCCAATGTAAACATTCCCTCTAAATATCCCCCTTCGGCTGATTTTTTACATAATTCAAAGGCCTCTTCATAATCTTTTTCTACGCCTTCACCACTTTCATACATAAGCGCAAGGATATATTGAGCTCTATTATGTCCCAAATTTGCTGCTTTTTGATAGAACACAATTGCCTTTTTTTTATTGCTACAAGTTCCTATTCCGTTACGATAACAATATCCTAACATTGCTATTCCGTTTATATGTTCTCCTTCAGCCGATTTTTGAAATAACTGAAAAGCTTTGTTATAATCCTTAGCAACTCCTTCTCCATCCTTATACATACGAGCAAGATGAAATTGAGCTATATTATTTCCACTATTTGCAGCCTTTTCGTACCAATGAAAAGCCATGTTAAAATCTTTTTTTTTTCTATAATAAAAACCAATTCTTAATTGACCGGATGAGAAATTTTCATCGGCCGTTTTTTTAAAATATTCCAAAGCCAATTCTTTGTCTTTCATAACTCCACGTCCATAATGATAGCATAATCCAACATAATACTGTGCTAACATATGATTTTGTTTCGATGCTTCTTCAAATAATTTGAACGCCATTTTATAATCATCATTTGTTTTAATTCCGTAATAATTATAACACCCTCGTAAAAAGATAAGATGTGGTTCGTTTTGATCATTTAACCAGTTGTAAATTTCTTGTGAAGTAATGTTATGATTATTTTGATAATCAAAAATATTATTTTCAATTGGTTTTCCATTTTTTAGATTTTCATTAATAATAGAATCAATTTCTTTAGTAGCTTTTTCAAATAAATTTATATTAGTATTAGATTCTACTATGTTATTAAAATTTTGATGGTCAATCAATTGAGAACCAGCACTAGATTGTTCATCTGATGATTGAACATCTGGTTTAACGACTTCTGGAATAATTATATTTGGTCGATATAAATCATATAATCGAAAAGCTACTTGGGTTATTTCTGGGCGATTATCTGGATCATGATCCCAACATTCTAAAAAAGAAAAAAAAGGAAATTAAAAAAAAAAAAAATTATTTTTTCGATAAATCAAGAATTTTATATCATTAATCAAAAATAACATATTTACCAGTAAAAATATTTTTATAAACTTCGGGCGTATCCGGAATAATCTTTTCTCTACCACCCCCTAAGATGTCCAGTAGTAATGGTAATGAAGTTGGATTTACTTTTTCAAAAGGTGGTCGACCGCTTGAAATCTCCCACAAAAGTACACCAATACTATATATATCACTCTTTTTGTTTAAACGATACGTATTGTCATGAAGCTTTTGGGGATCGATATAAGCTAGTATACCATATATCTCCGAGTGTGCTTCAGATACATCATTGACTCTTCTGGATAATCCAAAATCAGCCAATTTAATGGAAGTTTGATGAATTAATATGTTTTTTGAATGCTAATAATAAGTTAAATAAAATAAAATAAATCAAAAATGAAAATAATTAATAAAACAATTATAAACGAACCATAAAATTGTTTAATAAAAATAAAATTACCAAGTCAAGATGCATAATTCCTTCATAATGCAAATATGATACGGCACAAGATAATTGGTATGCCAATTTGAACTTGAATTCCCATGTAAGATTTTTATTTTTTTCCAAATATGAACGAAGGGTACCATTATCAGCATACTCCATTACCAATAAATAATTATCTTTTTCTAATATTAAAAGCAATTTAATTAATGAGTTTACCAAGTTGGAAAATATACGTCTTTAAGAATATTAATTTTTTATACCTTGAACTGCAGTTCCAAAAAAACGAATAATATTTTCATGATAATTGACGTAATGATGAATTTTAAACTATATTATAGATATAATAAATAATACTGCATATTAATAAATAATTTTAGTATTAAAATAGTTTAGTTACCTCGTTGACGATTTTTTTGATATTCTCAGTGATATTTATATTAAATGATTTTAATGCATATTTCACCGCTGAATTATTCCGAATTGCACAATAAACCTTTCCGTAGGAACCATTTGTTTCATTTCACTAAAATCTTCGTAATCGAAAAGTTTAATAAGACCTTTTGATATTGCATCTTCAAACCAATTAACATCTTCATTCGAATGGATGACAGCTTGCATTTCGGTGTAATCGTTTATGTGCAGTATAATAGAAAAGGTAATAAAATAAAATAAAAAGAAAATGACCATTTATATGTAATTGTGCATGTGATTCTATTGATTTATCGGACTTTTTAGAATGTTCACATTCCTTATCCTACGGATAATAAATAATTATAACCTGAATTTACTAAATTTATATGCGGTACCGCTTCAACTATTTCTAAATAAAAACTTCGGAGTTCTTTTATAAATTTAGGTTGGATCCATATAAGACCATATTCGTGCTTGTACGCCTTACAACCTGTATAATCTCGTCGATCAAATATAATTTAAGGATAGCGCATAATAAGATGAGTACGATTAAAATGATTCGCGTGAAAACATTATTTATTTACGCTCTACCTTTCTTTAATACAAATTATAGTTAATGCATTGAATTCAATAAATTGTTCTATAAGTTAACCATAGTTGTTTGAACTTTATTCTTCAGTTAGCTTGGAGCTGAATAACTTTAATTATAGCATCGTTTTTAACTAATTTGATCATCATACTAACAATATATGGTTAGTTTGATCCTAAGTATGGCTTAGACTTTTATAAAACTATATATGCTTAAGCTTAGATTTAGAATATGCTTCAAGCTTCCGCAGCCGGCTTTCCAGGTTAATCAGCATGCTCCATAATTGAAAAATATTTTCAACTGACTATTTTGATTTTCTAATTTAAAATAATTAATTTTATTAATTTTCTTTTAGAATTATCTTTGTTTGTAACTCCAAAAAGCGAATGATGTTCTCAGAATTGACTTTACAATGAAATTCAAGCTAAATTAAAAATGTAAAGATATGTAAACATTAAATAATATAAATAAAAATATTATATCACTTATTTTTAATTACCTCATTACCTCATTAATGATTTCTTTTATAGTGATATTGTTAAGATTAATTAATTTCAACACAAAATATTTTCTGCGTTCCAATTAATCTAATTTTTTTAATATTCTAAAAATCTTTATAATATTTTATATAATTTTTAGAAATAAAATTCTTCAAACCATTCATTCGAATTCATGGTAACAACTTGTTTTTAGTCTTACCAGATATTATAATAATAAATAAAGTGGAAAATTTTAATTTAAGCTTTTTTATTAGTGTAGTACTGCAGGCTAATCACCAATGATCTGAACAAAAAAAAAGTAAGCTTTGGATTGAATATTCCCTGATGTGTATGGTTAAATCACACAATAGAAAATAAAAATTAAATTGTAATTTAATCAATTTAATCGCTTATTAAATTTCATCAAAAACTATGTCTTCAAATGCTGAAATAACTATGGATGTAGATTATCAAGGAAATTATGAAGACGCAAATTGGGATAAAGTTTTATATTTAGTAAAACTTTTAAATCTTTAATTTACCTTAATACAATGGTATGATTACTTTAAAAATATGCCTGGAAACTCATACTTAAAATTAGAAAAGTAAGAAAACCATTATTGTGATTTAATTCCTCCTATTAGTTCTATATCAAATATAGCTCATATTATACCAGATTTTAATATTAATAATGGTTATTTTATTAATAAATATATTTTTTAATAACTATACAGTGACACCTCTCTAAGTGCACCCCCCTTGGGACCATAGTAAAAAAATAGTAGAATGTGCACTTAGAGAGGGTGTGCATTTATAGAGAGTAGGGTCGGATTCGGTCGGGTTTGGAGAATATATCCGACTCGACCCGGCAAAAATAGAAATGATCCGATTTTAACCCAACCCGAGTATATTTAATTCGAATAACCCGGGTTAAACCCGAAATTTTAGTAATTTTCATTGCTGTATGCTTAGTAATATATCAAAAATATTTTTTCAAACATAATTTCTTCAATAACGCAAGGTAATTGATCTAAAAGATGATCATATAGGTCACACAACTTTTTATTATTAAAATTAAAGCTAAGCACGAATTTAAAGATATCTTCAATTCCTGTTTATTTATTGCTTTATATCTGT